GCTGATCAATAGGGTGCCCATACCGGAGCCGGTTCCTCCGCCCAGGGAGTGGGTGAGCTGGAAACCCTGCAGGCAGTCACAGCTCTCGGACTCCTTACGGACCACATCCAAAACCGAATCCACGAGCTCCGCCCCCTCCGTGTAGTGGCCCTTAGCCCAGTTGTTACCAGCGCCGCTCTGTCCTGTGAAGTGACAGGGAGGATGTGCACACATCAGAATGTGCAAGCTGAGACATTCTACATCTGGTTTCATAATTTGATATTTTGACATTATATCTGCACATTTTTAACATATTCCCTTTTGCCAGTCACTCACCAAACACAAAGTTGTCTGGTCTGAAGATCTGTCCGAAGGGTCCTGAACGCACAGAGTCCATGGTCCCAGGCTCAAGATCCACTAGAATAGCTCTTGGCACATATTTACCTCCTCCACGAGACAGAGAGACAGAGAGAGAGAGAGACAGAGAGAGAGAGATTGAGAGACATGGGAAAGAAGCAGACCAGCTCAGTATACATAAGATAAATCAAACATGAAGGCTAAGTTTTCACTTGAAATTTAGATTCGAAAGTGCTTGGACATGGCATGGATCATTGTTCCAATATATTGCCAAAGCATTTCTAATGTTTATAGTAATTCTAGAACAGATGAAAACAAATGATAAAAAAAATGAATAATTAAATACAACAATCAGCCTTTTAGAATTCTATGAACACTTTTTTGTGTCCATATATTGTACCGCTAATAATATACAATCGAATTTTTTTGCCTAAAAATATTGAAGTTGTGTTTATTGTTTAACTTTCTGAAGCCATGCAGGGTTAATTATTTCTAATTTTGGAGAAAATTTTAGAAGTCACCAAGTGTCATCTCAACACATTTATTGAATGGTTATGCTTTAATTACAGCAGTTTACATAATTAATTTAGATTTGTGGAGTAAAAATATTGTTTTAATATTGAATTGAAAATTTTAAAACAGACCCTCAGAATTGGGGCAGAATGTTGTTGCTGGTGTAGGTTAATATTTTGTAATTTGTCTAATTATTAAACATAATAATTAAAATAATTGTTTTGTATTCTATAACTAAATTGTCAAAATGAATACATTTACATTACTTGCTTCCAAAGCATATCACATTAATGATAACTTTTTTAGTTGTTTCCATTTATTTGCCTAATAGTTAGCATGAAGCGAAAATTGTGACCGTCTTTTCTTCTCTCTTGTGACATATTTCCAATTCGAATGAGGAAAAAAAATGCAGAACTTGACTTTGTCCATCGGGAGTTGATTGGATCGTTCATTGATTGCTAATTTCTACGTTCATTTCATGTGACAGGTTGCGGGAGGGATTACTGTTCTGCCTTGCTGGTGAACACATCATCAGAGAAAAGAAGTGATGTCATAGTGAGGGAGGGAGGAGGGGAATTACATTTTTTGATGAAAGATTATGGGCAATTTTTTTAAATAGTGATGCGCACAGATAAATCATTTATAATACACTTTACAAAGAACATTTAATGGGGACACACTGTCTTCCCCATCTCGACCAATTGTCTATCTTAGTAATCTTAGTAAAGTACCTGTTGCTTCATTGTAGTAGACACTAATTCTATCCAGCTGCAGGTCACTGTCTCCATGATAGGTTCCTGTTGGGTCGATTCCATGTTCATCACTAATGACCTCCCAGAACTGCAAAAAACACACAGCAATTAAAACTGGCATGCAATTCAGTAAATTCTAGATCAATTCTACCTTATGAAACACTGAAATATTGAGAAGCAGTGTCAACTAATCGCTAATCTAGAATTGGTTTCAAAAGAGTTTCAGCTCTGAAAGAGGCTTTATTGGAGTTTAAATCGTTAATTCTATGTTACTCTCCTAGTGACCTTAATCTGAGAGAGAAGCAAGGATGGACTTAATAAGGCAGCGAGTGAATGCGAATGGAGAAAGAAAAGATTGTTCTTGGGATATATTGAAAATAATTGTTCTGAAAGAATGAGGCCAATAAACTGGAAGGCGCTGACTGACACAGCCCTACAGTGACCCTGTTCTGATACTCTCGCCTATCAAAAACCTGTTACTCCAGACAACCCATATCATCATAAAATACCATGCTGACACATATGAAATCAATCAGATAACATATTTGACACTACATTTCATTTCGCCAATTAATCCAGCAAATCAAAGGTTTTCCATGTACATTTACTCATTAATAATTTATGTTTCATTTAGATCTGTAGTGTAGAGGAGATGGGCCGCAGCTGTTAGAGCTATTAAGTTCAGTTGTGGATGCCTCCTCCTCCCCGCCCTGAACACAGATGAGTTCAACTGACACTCACAATCCCATCATGTGAAAGGAATTTCAAAGTCTTTTAAGGATGAGGACGATTTAACCCAATTTCTGATGCCACAGAACACATGCAACATCTCATGGGCAATCTATAAAAAAATGTGCATCTTTAATGGGGCCATGGGTGTGAATATGTCCTTCTTGGCAGCTTCCATCTATGTTGATGTGGCACAGAATCGGATTTAAAGGAATAGTTCACTTAAAAATGAAAACTCTGTCATCATTTACTCATCCTCAAGTTGTTTCAAACTGGTATGAATTTCTTTCTTCTGCTGAACACAATAGAAGATATTTTGAAGAATGTTGGTAACCAGACAGTTGATGGACCCCATTGACTTCTATAGTATTTGTACCCTACAAAGGAAGTCAATGGGGTCCATCAACTGTGGTCACCAACATTCCTCAAAAATAAATCTTCTTTCATGTACAGCAGAAGAAAGAAATTCATACAGTTTAAAAACAACTTGATGGTGAGTAAACAATGACTGCATTTTCATTTTTACATGAACTATTCCTTTAATGTATTAATTGGATATTTTAAATGCATTTAAAGTATCCAATTATGTGGGTATGTCTTTATGAGAACAATTCTAGTAAAATAACCTAATTTTAGGCCAAATTAAACAATGGATCATACAAAAAGCACACTAAATTAACTGATTAAGATATTTAACTGATTAACCTTCTTTAATAACAACTACAATTAAAATGGTTCATTGTAGGTACAATTAAAATGGTTCAATTCTCCATTGCCCCACCCTTCCCATCCTCCTCCGCTTGACCATTGACCATAGCAGTCAGTATCTGCACATATGATTAATAATTTAGTCAAAAGCCAGAAAATACTAGCTAAAAGTATTTCGCGTAAAAATTATGTTAAGGTACGCGGAAGAACCGGGTAGAACAGGCTAATATTAGTGGTATGCATCATGTGTCATGGCTCGCGACTCGAGCTGGTCCTGACAGCTGTTTAAAGGGCTCGTGATAACGGGTAGCGTAATTACTAAGAGCTCTTCTGTTCACATCAGATCCGCCACACCCGGTGCATTGAGGAGAATGAAATAAAGAAAGAGGACAGACCCACCCCCCCTTTTCACAGTCAATCCCTTCACCCACATCTCTGCTTTACAGACAAAGAGATTTATGGTTAGAGTCTACTAAATGTGAGCATTTATTTCGAGAAATAGCTATACAGGGCGTGTTAAAGATATAGTGAGAATGAATAAAGTGTGGGATCCGCATATTTTGAGCGTGAATGAAGGGTGTTCACAAGGACAAAGCAGTGTAATGGAAAACAATTCTTAAACATAATGTGAGTCTATAAAGCTGCCCAACGTGTTGCTAGTGTAATACATTATTAATTATATATGGAAATATGTGCAATGCAAAAAAATAGGTCTGTTCTGCATAACAGTGTGCCTTCTAATATGCTCCTAAACACAATTAAGATAACATCTTGCGGTTTTAGATTTAGTAAAAGCTAGTATAAACAGGGGCTTTATTGTTGCATTCTGAGACCTCTGCACAATATTTTCACAGTAGATTCAAAATATTATGACTCACTTTGTACTCTGAAAAACTGTTCTTACCTTGGCACCGATTTGGTTTCCGCACTGACCGGCCTGGATATGAACAATCTCCCTCATTGTTTCAAATTGGGTGAGAAGTTCTCAGACAAATCTGGAAAGTAACGGCGTAGCTCAGAAATAATTTGGAAAAGCCGGACAAAGGCTTTATATTCCTGGACTGTCTCCAGAACGAGGCTGCGTGGTAGTGGGCGAGGCTCTGCTGGATGTTGAGAAATCTGATTGGTGCATGACCGGACCGGAAGTATGTAGGGAGTGTCACTGCCAGCAAAGATTTTATTGAAAAAGAGAGAAACGTAGGATTGTTGTATGCAGTTTTGATTTTCTTATTACTTTTTTTTTTTTTTTAACAAATCACAGACATGTTTTACATCAGTTTGATCTGTATAGCAAGCAACAATAACTCAAAGTTGCGCTTGAACTATTACTCTTCTGAATATGAAAATGTAACCTACTAAAAGCCAGACTCATTGTTATGAGGTTGTGTGTTGCACATTCCTGTTTTTAACTTATAATTGTTTAACTTTATTTCATGAAATTTACCCACTATTATTATTGTCACTGTGGGTACAAACTGGGGAGACCATAGTGGAAAGCTTTCTACAAATGTGAAGTTGATAGAAGAACCAGAGACAGTAAAAAATAAATAAATAAAAGACTATCAGAGAGATAGCAGACTTTAGTTAAACAGTGACAAAATAGATAATGAAAAGAATAAAGGGGAACAAACGGGAAAAAAACAGTTTAATAGTTACTTACAGTTTACTTTTGGTTTTTGATGAATGGATGCATAGCCTATTTTTTATTTAAGTCATACTTTTGATGCTATAATCATGATCTCATAAATGTCATAATTTGGACTTTTATCATAATTTCGTTTTTCATCTCATAATTTTCATTTACAATCTCATAAATACGACATTTTGTCATAATTATGTCTTTTTGTGTTATAATTATCATTTACCAAAGTAGGATTTTAAAAGTTTTCATAATGTTCAGAATCTTCAGATATCTACTACTACAGTAAATGACGGCGTATTTTTCCTCAGTCAGTCCACAGCAGAGAGCAGCTACACACTACCTACTCACAGCCTGAAAAAAAATACTCCCTGACCGTCGCAAAACCTAGTGATAGTCTATCTAGGCTGCAGTTTACGCAACTCGAACGCTCAAAACTGTAGTCACGGTAGGGAGCTGACAGAGTTGTAGAACACAGCCTGAGTGTTTGTGAATGGGAGTGGCCGAGACTGCTTGAATCGTGATTACGACGACCTTTTGCACAAGAGAGACAATCCTGACCACATCTACTTCGGATTTATCGAAATATCAGCAATCGGTAAGAACATGTGGTTTGCCTAAATGTTACAGTGTCTGGATTCTCAACACCAAACTAAACTTAAGTGCGCGTGATATGCAGCGTAGTCGCCGCTAAGGAACCGTCAAGCATTTCCTGCTCTGTTGCTAAATACATTAGGCTACGTTAGCGTTTCTAAACACGTAACGTTAAGCTTACAAGTTGTTCGCACCTGTTTTGTTGGTGATTCTTATGTCGTGTTTAGGTTTTATAATGAGAGATAAACGTGTATTTATCGCCAAATGTTAGTGTTTATTAGGCTACTAAGTTACATAAAATTCATGTTGATTTTAGAAAAGGTTCTTCTCTTGCGAGAGATCATTATATCGATTATATCATATATGGGAACTATTTTTACTTTACGGTATATTGAAGTTAATGTTAGTTCTAAATTTAGGCTATATCATATTTTGGGACATAGTCTAAACTGTTGCATTGCATTATTATGAGATATCTTTTACTGTAATGTGATTGTTTTTATTAAGTTTATTGGTTGGTCAACAGGTCTGTGTTTTGAATAAAGTGAAAAGAGATGTAGATGTTTTACAGTAAGGCAATGGGAAGTGCAGACTCGCATGATGATAGACATAAACTAACGTTACTAGTAGAGTCATCAACATATTCCTCTGAACTCGTGAGATTAACTGGTGCTGTCTGTGTTTACTCAGATGTCATATCTAAAATATTCTCAGCATGTGTTGATCTAGTGGCTTTTTTCTTTCCTCAGATCTAATTCAAGATGTTTTACACCTGTGGTCCCAATGAGGCTATGGTGATCTCAGGTATGCTGCATCTGTTGGTCTTATGGTTATGTATACAAATAAGTAATGGATCTCCTTGAAGGTTATATATATAACTGAAAATTAAAGCAGCTGTGAGCCTGTGACTAAGGTTCATCAGGCTTTATCAATAACCTGTAGAGCTCTGTAATGATTTTTCAGATCAATGATGTTGTGGAATCTGCATTCTTTTTTTAAACAATGACCAAATGCAGAACTGGTTTCAGCTATTCATGTGACTTTCATTCACAGGTCAAAACAGACACAAAGTTCACTGTAATGGTAGTGTACTGCTAAATAAATGTCAGTGGTTACAAATTAAGATGACTTTAATGCTCAGGGGGGAACCCCAGCAGGCTTAAATTTACTATAACAACAAGGTTAAAGTAGGCAAACTGCACTGTACAAAGGGGAAATAAGTCACCAGCTCCATTTATGTCTCTGTCGCCCTTGTTCCCTTTGTAAACAGTTGACAAGCTGCTGGAGACATGCAATGACATGAAGTGCGCTTATGAGTTACTTTTCTAACATTAGTAACGTTCTTGACATTACTTTTTAGAGGGAGATACATTTTGTACCGTGATTTGTTAAAAGTGTAGGTTAAGTTAAGATTAGTTATGATGACATGCATTTGTCTGTTGTTAAACTAGAAATGTTTCCTGATAGTAAAAGCGAATGATTCGTACAATTGTTGGCTGTTTTTAATATTTTACAACCTTTTTGCATGTAATTTAAAGCTGCAGTCCATAGCTTATATGGGGTTAAAAATATCCAAAATACATATTTGAGAAAATGCATAACCAGCCAGTGTTCAAAAGTATCTGCTTGCCTTAGCTCGATTCAAAGCGGCACGCCTGTATATGTATTTAATTCCAGTGGGACTGGTGGATTTCCGCGGGAGATTCGAGCATGTCTTTGCATCATTACTTCACGTGTATCTTTCACAATCAGCAATGTCAACATAGGCGAATGTAAAATATGATAACAAAAACGGTTAGTGAACTAGGCTGATCAATTTCAGTGTAACAGTAATATTGTAGGAAGTAACGTTACTGTACTGAACGTGTCTGGAAATGTGTATTATAAACAATATGATTGTAGTGGAATGGGTGCCGTTAGACTGTAGATCTAGTACAAGTTACATCCTAAAGCTCCTTCTTTTTGTTTTTCTGGAACAGTGTTTTGTAATCATTTCATGTCTCATGTTGTAGTTAACTTGCTATTTCATTACAGTTTACCATTATATCAGCATTTCTGAAAACTTGTAATTTATCACAATGAAAAATACGGAGGTCTCTCCATTATTCAAACGTTCTGCTGAGGTTGATCCGTGTTTTCGTCCTAAGTCGATCCTTTTCACGTTTGGCCTGTCAAGCTTTAGCACATACATTTTTGTTTTTTATATTCATGTGGAGTTTGTGTTGAGTTGGTGTTGTGCTGGAGGCAGGTCATCCTTAATCCTAAACGGCTAAATGATTAAATGCCCAATCCTAATGCCTAATCCTAAATCCTAAATTGCTAAATGACCAAATGCCCAATCCTAAATTACAGTTTTAGTTTCAAATTTAGACTTTCAGTTTTCGTTTAGGACTTTTTAATTTTAGACTTTTAGTTTTCAATCTGTCCCAATAATGCCTCCATAGAACCAGAGCAAAAGTGGATGTTTCATTAGTGTTCAGATGGCATTTTCAGGTGAAAATTGTTATGTTGTGAAAATTACATTGTGTTTATCCACACTGTGCCGGCTCGAGGGTGTTGAACTACAACTCACGTAAAGTTGATAATTCCGCGAAGGACTGCAATTGCAGATTTCAAACAGAGATGGCGACAAAGAGGAAAAACGCCGGACTTGCAGCTTTGAAACATAGGACTTGTCATAGGAAATGTATACATAATATTTGTTCAAATGTTTGGGATTTTTTTATGTCTCTTATGTCTTCCCAGGCTACATTTACTTGATCAAAAATACAGTAAAACAGTGATATTGTAAAATATCATTACAATTTAAAATAAGTGTTTTCTACTTGAATATAAAAAAAGTAATTTATACCTGTGATGGCAAATCTGAAATCTAATATTTTGATTTAGATATCAAGACATATTCAGTGTTATTGATGTTGAAAAATGTTTTTGTACTTTATAATATTCGTAAATTGGAATCCTTGATGCATTTTTTTTTAATGAACAGGAAGTTCAAAAGAACTTTTAATTCTTCAGCATTTATTTTGAAATAATCAATTTTGTTACAATATATGTCTTTGCTATCACTTTTGATCAATTGAATGTATTTTTGCTGAATAAAATAATAATTAAAAAATATATTTAATTTTTGGCCTGTAAAAAATATTTCCCATATAACAAGCCAGTATTAAATAACCAGTATTGATCAATGCCTATGTTGTGTATCCCTGTAGATACACAATATAGGCATTGATCAATACTGGTGCATTTACCCCTATTTTTACCTTTTATACTTATTTAAAATTTAATAACACTGTTAAATGTGCATTTTCAGCAAATCTTAAAATGAATATTACATTTTCATACTTAACATTATTATGTTCTGATGCCTAAATTCACTCCTAGCATTTAAAAATGATTGTTTTATTTTTTATTTATTTAGACAAAATAGTATTACATTATATTATTGACCATTTATCAGTTATCGGCTATAACATGAAGTAATTATCGACTTATCTCTGTATTGGCCAGACTTTTAATATCGAAGCATCCCTGTAGTTGTGATATTTCTATGATCTAAAATAAATATAATTTAAGATTTTGCACCTATAACTCCTTCCCCTAGCCAGTGGATTTTCAAGATTCCCAACAAGAATGTTTTTAGTCAAGTAAAACTCTCATCTCTTTCAGGATGTGGTCGCTCTCCTCCCCTGATGATTGCTGGTGGAAGAGTGTTTGTTATTCCCTGCTTTCAGCAAATCCAGCGGTATGTATTGAATTACAATAGAAGGTGGATTATTACAGCATGTTAGTGCCTGCTGAACACACGTGCATTGGAACCATTCTGTTTAACCAGGTGCTGCAGGGCCAGACTCTAATGTGATTCAAGATTAGACAGGGACTCACAGGCCTCATGAATGATGGGAACAAGAACAAGAGGTGGCTCTGTGTGCAGTAGAGACTCCACTTGTGTTTACATTCCTCTCCACGTATACATGCTGAAAATAAATTAATCATCCGTTCCTCAGAGAGAATACCTTCATTCCATTTTGTAGAGCACTAGAGATAGTTTGTTGATGAATTTGCATTGGTCTGTCCATAACCTGATCACTGTACATCAACATTCACGTCTGTGGCCCTGTTTACACTTGGTATCAAGAAGTGTTTTTTTTGCTCGGATCACAAGTGGACGACACTAAATTCTGGAGTAAACGGGGTCTGAAACGTGTTGAGCTTGTTCACTGCGACCAATTCCAGAGGTAGTCAAAAACGCATTTCGCAAAATTGCTTTTGTAGTGTAGACGCTCGCATGTTCGAATGCAGTCAAATAACCACAAAAGACTACTGACCTAATGCATCAACATTATGGGAAGCGCATGAGCCACAGATGCCTGATGGGATTTAAACTTTGTCGACTGAAGACCCTAGTTTAGTTTGAAGACAAAAAACGTACTACGCGCAATGTTCTCTTACCATTCCTGATTTCTAACCCGCACTCATCGTTTGGCGTGGTCTTGCGGCTCTTAAATTTGAAGTGAAAGCTGTGCGTTTATAATTGCGCAAGCTTATTTCGTCCATTAGATCGAAAGATCTGAAGAACCCATACATTTACCCACCCATAAACCCTCTCCTTGAAGAAATCAGGACCTAACTGGTCGAAAGTGGACAAAAGAGATGGATTAAAACACCAGGTGTAATTGGGAATATGTCTCCCTCATCTACTCTTAATCCGAACGAAGTGGTACTCCCTGCAGTCAAATGACGTCCAGCTCCACCTCTCTGGAATGGGGTGGATGGATAAAGTTGTGGCTTGGATTTGGGTGTAGTTGGATATTCTAGCTCTACCCATTAGGCTCAAATTACATTCACTTCTCCTCCTACAAAACTTTTGTTCCAGCATAATGTGTATGTATATGTGGGTGTGGTTTGGGGGCGGAGCCATCTGTTTGTGCAAATAATGGGAGTCAATGGATATGTTTGAGAAACCTGTTTGATGCTGACTTAAAGGTGTTTTTCTTTTCTCCTAGGATCTCTCTCAATACACTGACTCTGAATGTAAAGAGTGAAAAGGTTTACACCAGGCATGGAGTGCCGATCTCCGTGACTGGCATTGCCCAGGTTAGAGACACACACACACTTTATGGTCATCTGTCACATCAGTTTTACAGTCTGTGAGTGCTGTTATTTATGTGTCTGCAGGTGAAGATTCAGGGTCAGAATAAAGAAATGCTGGCTGCAGCCTGTCAGATGTTCATGGGGAAGTCTGAGATTGAGATTGCTAATATTGCCCTGGAAACCCTTGAGGGACATCAGAGAGCCATTATCGCCCACCTGACTGTGGAGGTACTGTGAGATGATTAAATGGATACTTCAGGATTTAGCTTTGTATTAGTAGAAAACCTGTAGTATTTTCAAATTACCGTGCTTTCCACTCTCATATCGCTCTGAGATGAGAGATTTATGTATTTTTCGTCTGGAAAAAATCCTCTGATGACGCAAAAATCGTCATATTGTGATTTTAGTGTCGGCCATCTTTTTTAGAAGCGAAGCTAGCAGGCTCTTGTTCAGAGGAAAAAGCTGAGTAGTAGGGGTTACCATTCATCCTCTTTTTTCCCGGACATGTCCGGCCGTCAATGTCCGGGATTCAGCTTTTGCCTTCTGTAGTCGCTATTCATTATTTACATGCACACCTTTTGTTTCAATCTAACTACATCCAGATTCACCAATCGAAATGAATTCAGTGTTTATATGAACGCTAAACAAGTGATCGAAATCCCGGGCAGACTCATCACGGAGACTCACTCGTAGCCTAGACTTGTTGTTTAACTCTGTTACCGGTAGGCGTGGCCTCTTATGGCAGCGAAGCAAGTGCATTCTGGGAGTTGTTGTCTTTCATGCATATAAGCCAAAAGTACATTTTCTGGCTTTTCTCAGTCTAGAAAGCTATCCCTTTAAAGAGTTATTTGTGTTTTGTATCAAACACACACAGAATGGAAGAAACAAGACCATTTCAAAGAGGACCGGAGGGTTTTAGTGCTGAAATAAACAAGCGACCTCTGCTGACTGAGATATGTGTCTCTCTCATTCTTTCTCTTTGTAGGAGATCTACCAGGACCGTAAGAAGTTCTCAGAGCAGGTGTTTAAGGTAGCTTCCTCTGACCTGGTCAACATGGGGATCGGTGTTGTCAGCTACACGCTCAAAGATGTGCATGACGATCAGGTGATATTATGCACCTCACACCCTGCCTAAACAAACACTATTTTTCAAAAGTTTGGGGTTGGTAGGATTTTTTATGTTTTTTAAAGGAAGTCTCTGATGCCCATGGCAACATTTTTTGGATTAAAAATGCAGGAAAACGTTCAATAATGTTTTAATTTAATTTTTGAATTTTTTTCCATTTTAATATATCTTCAAATGTCAAAGCTGAATTTTCAACAGCCGTTACTCATGATCTGTTAGAAATCATTTTAATATGCTGATTTGGTGCTCATGAAACATTTCTTATTATTAATGCTGAAGACAGTTTTGCTGTTTAACATTTTTATCGAAACCATGGTATATTTTTTTTCAGGATTCCATGTTCGAAGTACAGGTGAAACTCGTGCAAAAAAGTTCATTTACTTCACTAAAATTCAACTTAAATGGTGAAACTAATATATTATATAGACTCATTACATGCAAAATAAGATATTTCAAGCCTTTATTTGTTATAATTTTGATGATTATGTCTTACAGCTATGAACACCTTTTCACAATATGCTAATTTTGAATTTGGGGTTTTCATTAGCTGTAAGCCATAATCATCAAAATTATAACAAATAAAGGCTTGAAATATCTCACTTTGCATTTAGTGAGTCTATTTAATGTATTAGTTTCACATTTTAAGTTGAATTACTAAAATAAATGAACTTTTGGACGATATTCATATTTTTCGAGTTTCGCCTGTAAAGTTAAAAAGAACAGCATTATTTAAAATAGAAATCTTTTATATAATTATAAATGTCTTTACTGTCACTTTTGATCAATTTAATGAGTCCTTCCTAAATAAAAGTGTTATTTTTTCCCAAAAAAAATCTTGACCCCAAACTTTGTAAAGAGTATTGTATATTCATAATAATACATACACTTTAGTATGAAACTCACCCGGACTCTCTCACAGGGTTATCTAATCTCGCTGGGTAAAGCTCGTACTGCTCAGGTGCAAAAAGACGCTCGTATCGGTGAAGCTCAGTTCAAGAGAGATGCCGTCATCAGGGTGAGCTTTTTCATATTCCCGTGTTGTCATTTAATGGTTTTGCAAAAAACTGAATGTATGTGTTTGTCTGTGTAGGAGGCTCACGCCATGCAGGAGAAGGTCTCTGCTCAGTATGTAAATGAAATTCAGATGGCTAAAGCACAAAGAGACTTTGAGCTGAAGAAAGCATCCTATGACTATGAGATCAACACCAAGAAGGCAGAGTCTGAAATGGCCTATCAGCTTCAGGTACCAAATGATATTTAACTTGGTTTCCAGCTGGTAAAATGAGGATTGCCACTTTACATCAATTCATATTTTAGGAATTTAAAGAAAAAACGCAATTGAAGCTGCTTTTGGAGCCATTTCACAACAATAGAAAAATATATAAGAAAATGCAAATTCACAGCTGTACAGTAGAGGACAGCTATCTCATAACCCCTCACACAAGACAAGAGCTTGTCAATGTGGTCAATCAAGAAGCGTGTTTATCATTCTGGTGACGAAATTTGTGCCAAGCTCCTTTCTCGTGGACCCTTGCGTATGTGTAAAAAAACAAAGTATACTTTGGGCTTGAATCACGTCTACTGACGTTTTTACCCACTGTCATTTGATTTAGGTGGCCAAGACTAAGCAGCGTATCGAGGAGGAGAAGATGCAGGTTCAGGTTGTGGAGCGTACGCAGCAGATCACTTTACAGGAGCAGGAGATCACCCGCAGGGAGAAGGAACTGGAGGCCAAGGTCCGGAAACCAGCTGACGCTGAGAGATACCGTATTGAGAAGATTGCTGAGGCAGAACGGTGAGAAACTGATGCAGTGTCACACATTTGTGCTTTGCTGGAAGCAAATCTAAAGAATAAAACTGATAGCTTGGTATCATAATCTCGAAAAACCTTTTCATCTCCTCTCATCTAACAGGCTTCAGTTGATCATGGAGGCAGAAGCTGAGGCAGAGTCCATCAGAGTGAGTTCATGAATCTCTCCACACCTGTTTTTCACAAGTGACAATGAGCGTTGCTGTTTGCACAAGACACACATTACACAACATACACCTTTAATCCTTTCCCTGCCAGCATTTTTTTTTAAATAGGATAGCTACATAAGCATTTTTTTATCATTTTCACCAATATTATAAGACCTTATTATTTTTTTGTGTGAATTTCTAAACGTATATCAAAAGAAAGAACAGACCCTCTGCTTTTAAACAAATTCTGTTCCATGCATTCCTTTATCAACTCTTGAATATGGGTTGGTTTCATAAAAAAAAACATTTTGAGCAAAAAGCATGCTATATCAGACTATATCCAGATAAGATTCAGTGCGATGATCAAAACATATAGAGTAGATCGAGTCCATCGACACCCCTAATGCTTGCACAGTCCTATAGCTCGTCTTGGGTTGACATTTCATTCAGTAACATTAGGCAGTTTTGATTTATATGCTGTTAAATGTTGATGAAAACATTATTTTACATATGCATCTGCTTTCATCTATCTTTTGATCAGAAGATTCAGTACTCCTTCTGAAAATGCCTAATAGCGCCTCCTACGGTATAACAGTGAAAACTGAAAAGGACAACCTGGAAATTTCAATCAATGGCAGGGAAGCGTTTTCTCCATAGATATCCATAATAAAAGCTAGATGTCTCGTCCGCGCTTGCTGGTCAATGGAGGTCGACATCTGCACCTGGCGGCCATCTTGTCAAAGGCAGCTTTCCCACTTGTAGCATTGTGTTTTAATGGTACATACTGTACTTTTTAAATAACCATAACTTGCTCAATTTTTTACAGATTTTCAAACGTTTGGTTTGTTATAAACGTCAGAGATGTAGTTATGACACTTCATACTTATGAATAATAAGTCTATAAATAAATAATCATCCAGAACTATTGCCACGTTAATGACATTTATAAGAAACCTAACCGTTTGTAAATCTGTCAATATTTCTATGAGATGAAGTGTATTTGTGTTCTGATCACTCATGTTACATCAGGAACCACAGAGCCCGCCAGAAAGATTGCCTGTGACAAGATGGCCGCCGGAGATGGCGATAGAGACTCCGCCATAAGACGTCTAGCTTTTATTATGGGTTTTCTCACAAATTACGGAAATTTCCGTCAATTGGCGAGGAAAGAGACAGCTGTACTTAAAGCGAAATCGAAAAACTAACTGGTGTGACATCATTTCAAACAAAATCAAGCCAAAGTAAAGTTCATTTTGGGAGTTCAAAACTGTTTTTTCGTCTGTGCTATTTTTTAATGCGTTTATTTTGTTACTCAGAGGAAAGTGCGCAGCATGAGTAGAGTCAGGATGTTCGCTAAAAGTATATCCTTACAAAGGTATTTTAAACTTAGTTTTACTCTAAGCAAAAAAAGAAAAAGAACTTTGCAGTGAGTAGATTGGGGGCTTAACACTATTAAACACATTAGACTTTAGACTATTCTCTCATTCTTCATCTTTTTCTGTCACTGTTTCAGATGAGGGGAGAGGCACAGGCCTTTGCGCTGGAGGCGAAGGGTCGGGCTGAAGCCGAGCAGATGGCCAAAAAGGCAGAAGCTTTTAAACAGTACAAAGAGGGAGCCATGGTGGACATGCTGCTGGAGAAACTCCCGCTGGTTAGTGCATCTGAACTTTTCAATGTCATTAAATAAATTCAGTGATAAATCAATAATGTTAAAATGCCATTTGCCCTCCACTGCTCTAGATGGCAGAAGAGATCAGCAGGCCACTCTGTGAATCTAAGAAGATCACCATGGTGTCCAGCGGTGGGTCAGAAGTGGGTGTTGCAAAGCTGACTGGAGAAATTCTGGAAATCATGACTCGTCTGCCGAGCGCGGTGGAGAAACTAACTGGAGTGAAAATCTCACAGGTTACCTCACCTGTGAGTTAATGCACATAAAAACACAAACCAACACATTCTCACCTGTGGAAGGTTATCCTATTATCATTTTTAATCATACAAATAATATATCATTTTTTTGTTTACTTTTCATCTTTTCATTAATGCTGTGTTTTTGGAGATATAAAGTACGTTTGTATCCATATACCACACAATTCCTCAACTACACTATTAGCTTGCATATGAAATATTATTTTTTATGATGCATTTCATTTATGCTCTAGTACTACGCCTTCATTTCTGTGTAAAAATTTTCAGATTTATGCCGGTTTTTTTTGACGCATGAAAATATATTTGGCTTTTTTTTTTTTCACATTTCCCATTCATTTCAATGTGGGGTCATATGGGCTCTATGCACGGCGTTATTTCCGGTGAAGGATTAAGGATGCTCGATAACTTCCGCCGATCATAGAGTCCAATGCAATACCGAGAGTTTATATTGAATTTTATACTCCATGGTTATACTAATGAAACGTTAGTCACAAAAACAGATAAAACAGACACCCCTCGTTGTGTTTATGCTTCTTTTTAAAATTATATTAAATAAACATAACTATATATAAAATTACATCTAAACGTATGTACGTTTCGTTTCAAAGACGGGAGGACAGTAAATATTGAAGACTCTGCCATAATCCCGTTTTCTCCGGTTTTCCTCCGCTTTAATCTACACAACCGGAAATGGACGAGCATCCTTACGTCAAATGCGGAATTTATGCGTGCATATAGCCCATTGACCCCGAAGACCAGAAGTGTAAACTTTTTTTTTTTTTTTTTTTTTACATACCTTCAGAACAACCGAATCAAGCCCAGTTTTTTTTTTGTGTGTGTGTATAGATGGATAATTAATGAAAAGTCACAAAATCTTATTCCACTGAGATGAAGGGAACCTTTTTTTTAATTAAGTAAAAGTCGATTGGGGTCGTATAGACCCCATGACCCGATTGAGGGCTACCAACTCTCACAATGTATTGGCTGAAGTTTAAATCAGAGATGGTAATAAATGTATATTAAACATAATGGCTAAATAAATAGCACATTTAATCTTTCTGTGTGAAGTGAATGCCATAGACTGCAAAAAAAAATAAAAAATATGCCCATCAAGATCACATTGAATATTTAGGTATTACATTGGTGTAAAACACCTGGTTTCCACTCCAGACACGCTAAATGGGGATGTTTTTTTTTTCTTTTCTTTGGCCAGGCTGGTTTAACCCGAATGGGCTAATGGAGTTGGAGTCAGATGAAGAAGGAATCAAGTCTGATCAGCTCTGCTTGTGGATCTCAGCTCTTCGTGTGTGCATGCATGTGTGCATGCCTGTGTTTGTACTGAACTTAAAACATTGAGGTCATTTTTTTTGTAATCATCCATTTGTAACATTCAGTTTTTATATTCTATTTTGTGAATTTTATGGTTTTATCACATTATATTATAATTTTACACATTAATTAGGTGAACTACATCATCTACTCTAGAGCCTCTATTAATAGTGAATATTCAGGGAAGTAGGGTTGGTCTTTTCATTTTTGAATAGTTTCTGTATTTTAGAGCCAAATGCCCGTTGAGTCTGGTTCAGTTCCTTTCTGAAACCAAAGTGCATTCTAGACCAATGCATGTAAATTCACCTTAAGTGCATTACCGAAGCCATAGTCCGCATGCACAATGCCTTCCGTATCCAGACACTGAAATGTGATGCTTTATTCTTGCCGCTTTACACCTCTTTGATACTTATGTTCTGAGAATATATTGTCCGGTGTTTTAATACTTTTTCTTTTCACCAGTGGCACTGAAGTTTGGAGACATTTTGAAAAAGTTTTTTGTTGTTAATCAGGCCACTTTTTCTTAAACAGGTCTGTGTGCTCAGGTAAGTGATTTTTTACAGCAAGTTGAAATTTGAAAAGGAAGAAGGGGGTGTGAAGTGAGTGCCGCAAAAATCTGATGATTTTTGAAGTTGATGAACAAACAGGAAAAAGAAGAAGAGAAAACTAGGTTAGGTTTTTAACGCAGGCTGCAAGCATGTCTTTGTGCCCACAGAAACTCAAGTGAAGGCTGATTGTGGTTCCATTTCTCGTTTCATTTTCCAATGATTGCAAAAAATAAATAAATAAATAATTAAAAAAATTACTGTTTTGGTTTTACCATGCTGCTGTGTACTTCACACTAAAATTGACTTAACATTATTAGAGATAAATCTATGCATCTCTAGTTTACGCCTTCAAAGTGCCTCAATAAATAGCGACATATACCGTAACTGACAGCACCCTGCTCTGATCTTTAGTGTTTCAGCAACAGGAACAGAACTGTGATGTGTCATGTGATACTTTCTAGACCTAATGACTAATTTCATTTAGAATGTTACTTTTTTTGCCATTAGTTTGTTTTCATTGGCTTAAACCCTTGTTTATGTATTTAACAAACTTACCCAATATTTGCCTTATTGTATGTTCAATGTTGAAGTAGATATGTTGCCTTCAATTGTAGATCTATATATATCCAGGCTGAGATTTATACATATGATTATACAAGTACCTACTGTTTAATAAAACCAATAAACTATTAGCATGTGTTCTACTTTAAAACTTGTGTGGAAGTGTATGTTTGCACAAATTAGGTTGTGAAATCACATACTAGTTGAAAATGAGGAACGGATTTCACTTTATTGGAAAAGATTACTTTATTAAAACACCTACAAAAAGAGACAACACTGGCAATTACACTGACTATAACACAGGCAGGGAGTCGAAAACAGAGACAGACAGACCCGATTAATAACAGATAGAAATATTAATGAAGAAAATTATGTCCCATGAATTATTTACATTTTTCATTATTTAAGAAACATGAATAGCTGAGGACAAAACATGCCCAAAACTATTTATAAAAATAAAAGTTCAGGCCTCAGTGTACCAAAAAAGGTTAAAGGTTATTTAATTAGCATAATCGGGATTGGCAACATAACCTTTGGGAATCACATTCTTCCATGTATATTACAGTAAATGTTACTTATGTTGCTCTCCACTACACCTACACACACAATCTTCCTCTTAAATGAGGATGAGGTGGCGTCACCACACCAGTTTCAAGTCAAATGTACAGTCTGCAGTCACTGAAACCATCACTGAGATTAAATGCAATTACGCACTATCACTTTAAGAGAGTTTCTTTGCAAGTGTCCCACAGGTTTACATAGTAAATTCAGGACAAATGCTTTGGTTATTTTTCTATTTTCTTAGTGTATCTCTATTTCTGTTCATAAACAATACATTTCTTCTTGGTATACATTTACATTTCTGTGGCCATTCTGCATGTCCCCCCTACCCCCTCTCTTTCTCTCACCATGTACTTCCCAGGCCCATTCATTTCAAATTCAGGCAAGTCCAGGCTCATATCGAATCCTTTCAAATAGTGCATTGCTAGTACATTGCCATACATCCCATCCCAGAAGTGTTTTTTTTTTAATTCCAAAAGTCTAGTTTAACCCAGCACATACTGGTACCATCAAGTTCATGATCTGCGTCCATCTTAGTTCAAGTCAGTCCACGAAATGGCAGGTCAATTTCAAAACTATGTGTAGACATTTTCTGTGCCGTCAAAAATGATAACTCGCACTTATGGCCAGTTTCACAACAAGAACAATAACTATATTGGCGTCCACACCGCCGGATAGTAACTTGTTGTGTGAGATGAGGTTAAGTTTGCTGCTTTAAATGCTCAGGCTCTTTATAGTGCAGTAGATTAATGGCATATTTCAAGAGAATCGTTCAAATTGGTATAGAAGCATAAAATTTGGCACAGATACTCTCTAAGGGTCACTTTTTGTGAAAAAGGCATTGGCCACCCAAAAATTCAACATGGTGGCCATTTTTTTTTTTCAAGATGGTTGCTATTTCTGTCAAATGCTGATTATGTCAACCGTTCAAACTACTGTGTGAAAATACTCTCTTCTCTCTCAAAAAAAAGCTTGTCCCTTTAAAAAGTTTAAGATGTTAAGCATTTTTTTCAAGATGGCCACCATTTTTCTTGAATCCTTAAATCTTTTTTCAAATGGTGATTCTTTCATGAAATTTGGTACAGTCTTCAATGAACATTATCATGGAAAAAGGTGTATGCCACTTAAAAATTCAAGATGGTGAATTTTGATTTTTGAGTGGCACATACCTTTTTCCAAAAGAGTGTTCCTTGAAGAGTATGTCTGCCTAATTTTATGATTGCATCACCATTTGAACAATTGAAATAATTTGTTATAAACGTCATAAACGTATAATAATTCATATTCAACAGGAATGCTGGCCATCTTTAAAAATGGCGACCATCTTGAATTTGAGGGAAAAGCATCTTTTTCCAATAACATGTTCTTTAGAGAGTTTTTGTATCAAATATTATGCTTGGATCAATGTTTGAATAATTGATATAATAAGCATTTAATAGCAATGGTGGCCATCTTGAAAATTGGCCACCATATTGAATTTTTGAGTGCCTTTTTACAAAATAGTGGCCCAAATTTCAAGCTACTGTACCAAAGTGAATGATATTGTTTTACTAATCTGCTGAGCTATAAAACTTGTGGATTCTGATTGGCTGTCAATATTTTTTTAATAATTAGATCACTGGTGTGGACTTCCCTATTTCCATAGAATTAGAATGATTATTTAAAAATATAAAGTTATTGTCCTTGATGTGAATGAGTCTAAACGAACCATTTATATGTGGACAGACAGGAGGCGGAGTCACAAATATCCATCCTCCAATTCACCGCAATTTGACAATATCGTGTCATAAGCCTGTTTCACACATCAGCTATTTTGTTGTACATAATTATAGTACATTGTGTCATATTTGAAAACACTGGAAGCACTTCAACAATCGTTTTTGAAACTCCAAGAGGTCCAATGACTCATGAATTTGCCCTTATTGGGATTCCACTGTTACAATGATTCAACAAAACCTCATTTACTATTATTGAAAAGAAAACGTCCCACTCAGTGTTAATGTTTAGTGATGATGAATTACCCTCCACCACAAAAAAGACATGACAAATTGGCTGATACATCCTCAGATTTTCTACATGACCACAAATGGTAACAAAGTTAGATTGTTAAAATGTAATTCACTATTATTACTTAATATGCAAGTAGAAAAAAACAATGCTGTATTTCTTCTATAATTCGTTTCAATATCATAAATCAATAATTTGTCAACTGCTGCCTGAAGAAAACTACGACTAAATAGACAGTTTGTAGAGCCGTGTGCTTTTGTGCTGCCTGTCATCTACCTATAAAAACCCTCCACCAGTTCCTACGATTATGTTTTGAGATCTATTCAGCGTTCAGGGAATGAAAAGAGAGTTTTGATACATGTAACAGGACCAGGATTTAAGGTTCAGAGGTCAAGCAGCATTTTATCCCCAAATCAATTTCATTTTATTCCTGTATCCTGTTAGCCCATTCTCAGAGCTTAGTCATCAGAACTGAACCTGACAGAACCATTTACACAAAGATTTCATTCTCAGGTTCAGATAAAAGACAGAGGAATGCCAATTATGTGCTGCATTTTGAGAAATATGAGCTCTGTGAAACCAAATAGTACTGTGAAATGATCAAGTATGAATAGTGAGGGAACAGTGAGCCAAAAAATGAGCAGGGGATAAAATGTTGCTTGAAAAGTTCAGGATAAGGGATGAGAAGCGGGTCATTAAGGGGCACCGAACCTGCGGCTTTTGTTCGCCCCATCCCATCAAAAAAAAGACACTAATTTACATAAGAGTGCTTAGCCGTGTCTGTTTAAGAACACACCACGTGTCTGTGGTCCACACACACTTTCTTACATTCTTCCTCTCTTCATCTCCGTCACTCTCTAAACCATGTTCATTGCGTCTTCTGTGAGGAAGGAGTGAATGTACGCAAAGGAAGGCCGTAGTTTACAGTCTCTGTTCCAGCAGCTAAGCATCAGCTCATACAAACCCTGTGGGCAAACAGCGGGGCGAGACAGGTACACCTGATGAAGAGAGAGAGAGAGAGTTTGGCTACACTTATTATTTTTTTTCATAAGGGTTAATAAGTGTTAGAAAATATACACATACCTGTCTGCCCTGGTCTCTGAAAAACTCCCCTGCGTTGTCAATGACCTGTTCATCGGTCATGTGACTGTACGGTTGCTCTTGACACACACTCAACATCTCCCACAGTGTCACGCCAAATGCCCACACGTCACTCGCAGTCGTGAACTTTCCCTACACATACAGACCCGCACACACACAAAAATGTAATTAAATAATGACTGAGATGAAGGGCACCAGTATTGTGTATTGCATGAATGACACGTTAATTATGTCACTATTATCTACAGGAGGGTCCAAAAAATAAATATGATAAAATTATATTTAAGATTTGTGACAGTAAGCATGTGTAAATAAGTAAGTAAAAGTAAGTAAAGTGTTACTTTACTTAAGTAAGTAAGTAAAATGTTAGTAAAAGTAAGTAAGTAGGTAAAATGTTAAACATTTTATATAAAATATAATGCGTATATAATGTAATATATAAATAAAATAATAAATATAATATAACTTGATACATAAATTAAGTAATTAAATGTATCTTAATGTCTCATATATATATATATATATATATATATATATATAATTTTTATTAATTATTAATACTATTTACAAAATGTTAGAATAATATAATATTGTATTTCTTTATTATATGATAATAAATATTAAGTCTGATAATAAATATGATTTTTTAAATATACACATCTTTATTATGGTAATGCAGAAATCAAACTAGTCAATAAAAAGTTTGTCACTTATATATTCCTGTATTTTCATTTATTTATTAAAGCCAAATTACAAATGTGTGTGTTCTTACCATGAGGATGCACTCCCATGCCATCCAGCGAATAGGCAGCACAGCTCGTCCCTGTATCCTGTAATAATCGCCAGCATAGAGGTTCCTGCTCATGCCAAAATCAGCTATCTTTATCGGACGCTCTCCGCCACGCTCCTCCTCCTCCTCGCCCCTCTCTCCACCCACCAGGCAGTTTCGTGTGGCCAGGTCTCGGTGCACAAAGTTCAGAGACGACAAGAACTTCATTCCTGATGCGATCTGACTCGCCATGGAGATCAAAGCTGGGTAGCTGAGACGGACAGAGATTTAGCCTTTCATTTATATTAGATGCGTCATTACTTGATATTGCCGTCGTGCTGTTCTGTGTGAGTGTGTGTACCTGATGGTTGGTGTATTATGTGAAGGTCCAGTCTTGTCCAGCAACACTCTATGGGAGAGGTACTGGTTGAGGTCTCCGCTCTCCATGTACTCTGTGACCATACACAACGGGTCGCTGCTTACACAAACACCCAGCAGGCGGATTATGTTCGGATCCTTCAGGCGAGATAAGATCTTCACCTCCTTCAGAAAATCATTCCTGTTGAAAGAAGAGCATGAAAAGAATGAGAGTAATAAGAGAAGGGAAAAGGACAACATCTTGAAAATGAAGCAAGAAACATTTGAGTTACATACAATATTACAAAATAAACAACAGCAGTTGTTGTTTAATAGCTAAATAACTATTCCAACCAAATTTGATTATTTGGCAAAAAAAAAAAAAAAGATCTTATACAACAACATCAAACTATTATATTGTAATTATCTGTTATTTGAATATAAAATGTATTTATATCTTAAGTTTACCTTTGATAGTGTACAGTTACCTGGCATTTTTTGAAGCATCTGGACGTAAAATCTTCACAGCCACCAGAAGAGGGCGTCCTTTCCTGACATTAAACGGGAACTCAAGGTTTGCAAGGTCCTGAGGGTTTTCAATCTCACACAAATGAACCTAAGGAAGCAGACAAACAAATAGACTGGTATAAAGGGAACAATGTTATTAAAAGTCTGCTTTAGGGCGCACAAAAAGGTTTCTGAATAAAGAATCCCATTAAGCTAAGAGAGGAGTGGTGGGAATTTGTAATGTTTTTGCAATCCAAAGCTGTACCTCTCCAAATTGTCCTTCTCCCAGCTTTTCTTTGAATACAAGTCGTTCCCGTGGCAACTCGGGCAATGGTGGGCAATCAGTGGGCGTGGCTGAGAGGGCGGGAACTGCATATGTATTGTTACCACTAACGCCTTGCAGACTGATGATGTCAGCTTCTGCATAATGAGGAACACTCCCCCCGCCTCCTGATGCCTCTCCATAATGAGCCCCTGATAAACCAGGGGGCGGAGCTCCAGGGTAAGGAGGCGGTCCCTCCTGCATCAGTAGGCCTTTATCAACCATGTCAATAGCACATGCTAAGAGAAAGAAAAAGGTACAAAAAACTTTTACTTTTAACTTTTTTAGCCATTTTACATTATAATAAGTAATTATGAACTGCACACATGCACTTAAACACTCACATACACTGGAGATGAGACATTACATGCATAATGTATGGCTTTTAGACATCGGACTCTATCCTTTCTTCAGCTATGGGCACTTTAAGTTTCCATGATTGTAATAAATTTGACCTTCCTTAACAAAAGATAAGTTTAAATCTTTTACCTCCAGTTTCACAGACAAGGCTTAAAGGCACACTATGTAAGATTTTTGCATAAACATCGACATCGCGCCCCCACCAGATTTCGTTATTAGTCATTTTGTACCCAACAGTTCTGGAAACATTGAGGCACGGATGTACCTAATAGAAATAAAACATCTCCAGTTAACTAGCAGAGCATTCATTTAGTTAGCTCTTAAATAAGAGATCTAGCGCTAAAATGTTTTGTTTTTGAAATCAAGCTGAGCGCTTGTTGCCGCTGCTGTCAGTGTCATGGATATAGTTTTCTCTTGTGTCTCGCGCAGTCTTCACTCGGACGCGCACTGCGATCTAACACTAAACCATTGAATAACTCAAACATTTGCAGATCGATGCATTTATTTACGGGTTGAGCAGAGAGGCAGCACAGTTTGACAAGTTTGTACCCAGCACTTTTGAAAATGCACTTCCGAATGCGTCTCTGTCCCCAGCACATTTCAAACCAAACTGACGCCCGTGGATTTTTGAATTAAAATATCCAAAAACCATTAGAACAATGTTATATATTTTGTTGATTTGTGTACTTACATTATCTCAAATGTTCCTAAAAATGTTTAAATACAGATAAATAAATAGTTTTAACCTGGACACAAACCGTGCCTGTGTTACCCTCAATTTCGAAACCATGGAAACACCAATGACGCTTTAGTAGGGCTGGGCGATAACACGTTAACGATATGTATCGCGATAGACACGTGATCGATATCAATAAAAAATGTGTTAGATAAAACGTTCAATTTTTTTTTCTCCTTCGAAAGAAACTACAGGTTGCGAAGCAAGTTTGATTGCATTAACAAAGGCACTCACTCTCTGCTATCCTAGCGACGTAGGGAGTGACACGCTAACAGCGTGTCTCGTGATGCTGGATTCCTCTTCAGTAACCGGCGATTGATAAGCAGAAAATGAGTGCCCTTCATCTGCATGCCATGCAGGCTAGAATTGCGAAACGTTATTGGATAATTCACTCTATTCGCGTTTGATGTGAACACAGTAAAATGAACAGGCTGCGATGTCAAGATGTCAAGAAAACAAATATATTTTTGTTTATTTTTGTGAACGCACAGAGTAGCATTATAACAACTTTCAACACACTCCAATATATCTAAAAATGATAAAACAACATTGTGTTACCCACATGCGCATCAAGCTACGTCTTTGTTTTGAATAAACGACCTCTAGTGGCGAAAAATTACATAGTGTGCCTTTAAGCCTAGTCCCAGACAAAAATGCATGTTTGAGCTGTTTTAACTGCTCTGAGATATCATAAAATATGTCAGTGCCATTGTTTTGTCTCAAAATGCACATCAAAAAGATAATTTAATGAACGTTTAACACTCTCTGTGTTGTTCTGGGGCCATTATATCACTCTTACTGTTATACCTTTAAGAGTTCAGGGGACTTTAACTGCTCCCTGGGGAGGATACCACCCCTTGCCCCTTTCTTGGGGCAATATGAACCCCCTCTCTCTTACCCTGAGACAGGTTTTGGGGTTTTTCTTGCTGGCTGTGGCAGTTTGTCAGCCTGTTGGGGCCATGTGTCAGGTCAGACAGGAGGAGATGATATGCTGGGTTGTTTAACAGCAGTGCTAGGAGGACACACAAATCCCACGGACACGCAAGTCCACGAAGGGTACGACAGTGTGAGCAGTCACCACATGACAAAAACGACACAACCAAACCACAACACAAACGCATCACAACACGAGACGACACAACAAAACACAAACAACAGGGTCGTTAAGGGGTGACAGAGCAAACCAGTTACATGTGAGAGGCACAAACACAGCAGGCAGTGTTATCATCCATAATGACGCAGGCTGTTAATTATCTTTTCAGTCTGTATTGAGGCATTCATTTATGTTAATTAATATATGAATGAAAGTATTTGTCATGAAAGCAAAGAGAAAAAAAAACATTTGAGTACAAGTGGAGTTTGAGTGGAATAAAATGTCTCTCCTCTCTCTGTCAGATAAGACAGTGGCTCTTTGTGTCTGGGTTGTGGATTGTGCTAAAGTACTTTTTCTGATGTCGTTTTGGCCGTTCATTCACCGTGGTAACCCTGGTTCCTGTGGACTTACTGACAGAATGCTTCAGTGTTTTGTGTGTGTCACCTGTGCTGTCCCGCTGCTCTCGGGGCCGCAGTACAGTGCTGGGCTCCTGGTATTCTCCCTCACGGTCCCTGTCGTCGGGGAAGGTGTGTATGCGCTGGTAGCGACTGGAGTATGTGTGGGTGTTAGTGTTGTTGATCACCACGTTGTCCGATGGAACTGAAAGATGAACCCGCAGCTCGTCGCTAGAGAGGCTACCTTGGGCCTGGATAAATAAAGACAAAATGAGAGAAATCAAAACCATGAAATCAATGAATGAAGTTTTGTAGCATTTTGTCCATTTCTGTTAGTCATCTTTATGCTAGTCTACTTCTAAATGTTTTAACAGATAAATGAATTTTCTATTGAGAATATTCGTCAAAAGATAACCTACAGAAATATTTTGGTTTTCCACGAAAGTACAAAACACAAAAAAACTTTTATGTGTTGTAATTTATATTTTATACCCCAAATTGCCAGTTACTTTGTCTATTTTTTTTCCACCAATGAAAATAGTTGCAAACAAAGCCAAAGCACACAGAGCAACACACAGTAGTGGTGTTCCTGAATGAATGAGTGTTTTTGAACAAATTTGTTGACTGATTCATTCACTGAAGAGTTACTTGATTCCTTTATAAATTAATCAGGCTGCATCCAAAATCGCATACTTCCCTACTATATAGAAGGCGAAAAACAGTATGTGACAAAAGAAGTATGTTCGAATTCACATTACTAATAAAACAGCAGGGAAAAACTACTGAAGTGTGAATCTGATGGACACTTTACTATCCCATGAGGCCACAGTGAACTCAGCAATTGGCAGTGAAGCGAGTGTGACGTATTGTAACTGACGCTGGTAGGTTTACATGATAATCACAACATGGTGAATGATGTACATCCAGATTACATTCATACTACACATATTCATATTATATAGAACACACTTTTTTAGCAGTCGGGGAGTAATTATTCAAAATAAGTATCTACTCAAGAGAGTACGCGATTTCGAATGAAGCCTCAGTGTCTGAGTGAATGATTCAATGACTCACTAACTGCATTCAAAATCACATACTCTCTGACATATTTCTTGTAATTACTTTGCAACCTTTAAAAAAGTTTGTTCTAGTATAAACGTGTGTAGTTTGAATATAATCCATACGTTCTACATCAGTCATGTTGTCCTTATCGTAGTAAGTCATCTGGGTACTTTTTGCCTATTGTTTTATAATTGCTGTGAATTCGGATCTACTAGACTTTTCACATTCTGTTTTTCACCCCTATGTAAAAAAAATAGGTAAAAAAAAAGTAGGTAAGTATGCTATTTCAGATTTAGCCTCGCGCTCATTTCATTCCTAAATTAATTGTTTCTTTTGAATCAATCAGTTAAATACATTATTTAATGACTCATTAGTCTTGTCGCCACGTGCAAACACAGACAAGTGGAGTAATACAAACAGTGAAAAGTCCCAGTGCCCAATTAAATTATATATCAGAGCTCCTGGAAATGCTGTTCAACCAATCAGATACAAGGACTGGAACAAACCAATATATTAAAGGAAACACTTCAACATGGGGGGAAAAAAATACAGTGTAGAACACAGTAATGAAAAAATACCTTGCCAAGTAGCTTCTTCCAGTACTGCCTCCATAGAATGACAGCTATAACAGCCAATAGGAGCAGAATAATTCCAACCAGGCAGCCAATCAGGATGGCCGTGTTGCTGCTGTCATCTTTGGCCACAGGTAACCCTGCCCTCAGAGTGATGGCAGAGAACTCTGTTAATAAGAAACACGACAGATTTATGAATACGCGTGTGTGTTAATCTGACATTGAAATGATTACAAACACCATAAACAAGGCATTTATAGCCTACAGAGTGTTTAGAGTGTAAAACCAAAGCTTATCTGTCCATTACAGCCACTATTTAATCTCAGTGCTGTAAATGCCTTCAAGAAAATCAACACACTTTTTGTGATTTGACTTGCTTTCTTATATACTGTGTCTGTGTGTGCGTGCGTGTGTGTGTGTGTAAATTTAGAAGGCAGCTGTTGTTTTGGGGGGCAGTAATAAGGTTTGACGGGAGTAAAGGAGCTGTGAGAGTGGGCAAATTCCTAAAACTGAAGGTCCAGAAGTTAATTAAAAGAGAGACAATTACAAGGACAGCAAGATGAATTTCACAATAGATCCTCTATGAACTTGGCTATATAAAACACTATTGCATTGTCAACTAAATCATGCATAAAAACATTCTCTTTAGGCTTTAAAATGGATAGTCATGCACACACAAAACCCCCAACCACATTCTCAAGGCATTTTACAGTATGAGAGGAAAGAGTTTTTAATTGTAAAGGAATTTAGAGGGAAACAATAAAAGGCTTATGTGCTCGAAAACATGCTGTAAAAATCTGCGGTGAAATGAGCATGGAGACGATACTTTTTCTTCCCCTCGTCCTTCTCTCTTTCTCTCTCTCTCACCTGTTGGCATGCTGCTGGGCAGCAGTGAAGTAATGTTCATGAAGAGGTCTGGAAAAACGAGGATGGACAGGTCAGAAGAGGGAGAACTAGAGAGGTGGGGTGGGTGATTGAGGGGCAGAGATACATGGGAGTAAGGTCGAACTGCGAAGATGGGGTGAAATTAGGCCTTTTCTTGCTTTTGTATTGTACTTTTCCATTAATTCATTCATTTATATATTTTGGACAAAATATTGGGGTGGGGTACATCCTTAAAAATAATAAAAGTATTGTTAGGAGAATCTTGAAGGAACTGAAAACAGGTCCCACTTTATGTTCCTCCTAACTATACGTCACACGGCAGTGCGTTGCATACACACTCATAATGCGGTGAGGTTGAACTTGACATGCGTCCGACTCACCGCTGGGGCTGCTGGTTCCGTTTGCATAGCTGGGGGTGTGAGGAGAAGTGGCATTGACAGGACGAGTGCTGGAGGAAGGGAGAGCAGGAAGGGCAGATCCATCTTCAAACGGTACTGGAGACAAGAGAGAAATGTTAATGGAGAAAGAATTAGATAAGCAGGCTTTATCTCTGATGATGAAGCATGAATATTCCTAGACTCTCTTTCTTATCTACAAACCCAACAAGTGTGAGCACAAAGTCTCACCTTCTCTCCAAAAAAACTTCCTCTCAGTTGTTGTTGAGGCTTACTGTAATGCTTCTATTCTGCTCATATTCTGGATGCTACTGACCAACCAATCAGAACTCAAGGGCACACACCGAAATCTCACTTTTCAAGTTTTCAGAGCTTAGTTATTTTGGTATCTAGCACACTTGAGCTAAAATTTATTAACACACCAGAAAAAGAAGCCCATGAGGAAGAGTAGAAAACTAAAGCAGTCGACATGTTTTTTGTTTCGAATGGTGTGGGAGTATTTGCTTTGCAGCAAAAGATCATACATTTCCCACTAAATTCCTGCTGAAAACAGATCTTAAACCATCCTGAGTTGTTTTTTCTGGTCTCAACAGGATTTTGAACTTACATTTATTCATTTAGCTGACGCTTTTATCCAAAGCGACTTACAATTACTATATATGTCAGAGGTTGCATGCCTCTGGAGCAACTAGGGGTTAAGTGTCTTGCTCAGGGACACATTGGTGTCTCACAGTGGATTTGAACCTGGGTCACTCACACCAAAGGCATGTGTCTAAACCAGCATAGCACCAGCTTGACAAGGTTGGGAGACAAACTAGACCTGCTTAGACTTAGACTTAGGTTTAAGATGTTTTTAGCAGAGTTTTTACATGACTTTGAAACACTGCCTGAATTGCATCTGATCGTGGTCCAATATTTTACTATAATGACCGCCAAACTAAGTCAGGTGTGTGTGTGTTCATACCCGAGTAGAAGCTTATCTCGCTGATGAGGAGCCAGCGGTCACTGAAAGCGAAGCGGCAGCGGAGAATCTGGGCCGGCTGTCCTCCGAGTGGCAGTGAGATGGTGCGGGACGATGGGTCGTGTAGGTCGGACAGTGGCACTTGAAGGCTGAGCGCAGGCTCCGCCCACGGGCTCAAAAGACTGGCCTTAAACTCACACACCACCTCGCTGAACACCCGCACGCCTTGAGTGTGTCTGTTATTACTGTGCACCTGAAACACAGAAATTCAAAAACAACAATCTGCAATAAGACACTACAAGACTGCTGGGAACAAAAATAAGGAGCAGTGGAAATAAAGGGCATCAGGGAGTGGTAAACGGATGTTATTACTCCACAAATGGGAGAAGAGGAGAAAAAGAAAATAAACAGGGAGTGAATGAAAGGTGGAGGGCAAGAACATATATAATGGTACAGGTTAGACATTAATGGTGCTGTTAGGTCAACGTCTAACTGCGCACATGTGTGCAAACGCTCACTGACACATGTTTCAAAACAAACCAGTACAACAGCGGAGGTTAAAGTGTATCCGAAGCCATCATGGTGACGCCTCATCCATCACACACACACATGCATATACACACACACAGTTTATATATCCTCAAGTAAGCACCCTTTGATGGACTGCACTCAACTTTTATTTATAAGCTTTCATACATACATACATAATGGACCAAAGTGCTGTCCACAAGTAATAAATATCTATAAAATAGACAGAAACATAAAATTACATTAAGACGTGTACTGTAAAAAATTACTTTTCAAAGTTGTACATAAAACAGATTACTGGAGTACGCTTTGCAAGAAAATCCTATTTCAGTCTTTCTACTATAATTTCATGTTTGACTCAATGCGTTTCCTGCAATTTCTTTGCGATTATTTGTGAAATTTACTGGCAAATTAGAAATGAAAACTGTTTTAAAGTAAATCCTACATCATTTTTTTTTTTCAGTGTGTGATAACTTTGCATTGGAGTTCCTGAAGGATTTGTAGAGGAAAACGTCTCAGGTTACAACTGTAACCTATGTTCCCTGAGAACAGGGAACGAGACAATACGTCGAATGACGCTACGGGGAACGCCTCAGGCGTGACAGGTGTCTGAAATCAAATATCAACTCACAGTAATCAGGTTGACCGGCGACAGCCCGTGCATCATCAGCTTGAATGATGAGCGCGTCAATCTGGATGTATAAGAAGGGCGCCTTGAAACCGTGACAACATCCTATCGTCTGAAGGGACTGTTGCAGGCAGGCCCCGAGGCATGGCAACGAGACGTATTGTCTCGTTCCCTGTTCTCAGGGAACATAGGTTACAGTTGTAACCTGAGACGTTCCCTTTCGAAGGGAACTCAACAATACGTCGAATGACGCTATGGGGAACGAAATACCCACTCCGCCATGCTGAGGGGAGTGCATGCCGAAAGGCAGTGACAACTGTCAGAACCAGTAATTCCAAGAAACACTGAAACCACTCACCCTATGTTACATCGGGCTGTCAGTGACAGCACTCCCTACCGGTCATAGCCCAAGCTAATGAACCAAGAAAAACCAGAACGTAATAACGTGAGTAAATCAGGGCCAGCTCAAAGGCTTTAGGACCACAACTTCAAAATAGAAGGGGTCCCTTCTAGGGAGTGTGGCTAGGGGGCCAAAGAGACCCCCAGCCAGTCACTATTCAGGAGAACACTCCTCCTGAAATGCCCCCAGGCTGGCCTGGTGATCTGTACTAAGACACACAGTCTGGCCATAGCCTGTCCGTCCAAGACAGAGCCTCTGGAAATTGCCTAGAAAAGGCATCCAAAAACTGAAGGCCCGCGAAGCTGGCGGAAACCATCGAGTTTCGGATCACAGAGACGGGATCCTCCGGAGAGTGTGACTCAACCTCGAACCAATGGGAATCGTACACTCAATCCACGAGTTTCCACCCAGTGCTCGCTTTTGAGCACTGAGGAAGTAAGAGAGGGATCAAAAATCAGGAAGGTCAAAGAGACCTAAGACCTGATGACCCCATGTGTGGGGAGCTCCGATACATGAGGGCTCATGTCAGGAAGGCCGTACGTTGTGCGGCCTGAAACCCAACGACCACAGCATGTGGAAGCTCATCCTTCAGGAAAGCCAGAGGCTAGAAACCTGACAGACCCACAATGTTGGGCTACCTCGAAAAAGGTCTAATCAGACCTAAAACCACAGTTGTGGGAGATAGCTTGAACAAGAGAAGTGCCTGTCGTAATGTATTGCGACAAAGACACATCTACAGTGGGACCCAAAGTGAAGAACCGGAGTCTGAACCACATAAGAAGGGACCGAAGCATACCGCGCGTGACCCTCACCATATGAAATGGATTTTAAAAACTGCACAAGACATCTCGTCAGGTGACTTACCACAATAATAGGTGAAGTATGGGTTTGTGTACTTCACTCTGAATTCAGGAAGGCCTGTTGAGGCCTGTAACCTGGCGTCCACAGTGTGTGGGAGCTCATGGCCAGGAAGGCCTGGTAAGGCCTGTAACCTGGCGACCACAGTATGCGGGAGCTCGTAACCTGGCGACCACAGTATGTGGGAGCTCATAACCAGGAAGACCTAGTGAGGCCTGTAACCTGGCGACCACATCCGGTGGGAGCTCGTACTCAGGAAGGTCAGTGAGACCCAGCCTGGTGTACCTGAAAAACCACACCAAGTGGGAGCTACTTCCAGAAGTTAGCTCTTAAGAACTCTTAAAGTGGGACCCGAGGAAAGACCGGGGTCTGAGCCACATAAGAAGGGACCGAAGCATACTGCGCGTGACCCTCACCATAAGAAATGGATTTTAAAAAGTGCACAGGACATCTCGTCGGGTGACTTACCACAATAATAGGTGAAGTATGGGTTTGTGTACTTCACTCTGAATTCAGGAAGGCCTGGTGAGGCCTGTAACCCAGCAACCACAATATGTGGGAGCTCATAACCAGGAAGGCCTGTTGAGGCCTGTAACCTGGCGACCACAGTGTGTGGGAGCTCATGACCAGGAAGGCCTGGTAAGGCCTGTAACCTGGCGACCACATTGGGTGGGAGCTCGTACTCAGGAAGGTCAGTGAGACCCAGCCTGGTGACCACAACCTGTGGGAGCTTACTCCACCAAGTGGAAGCTACTTCTTCCAGAAGTTAGCCAGAGAAGGGCGTCCCTGTAGCCAGTGACAGGACGCCACTTAAAGTGGGACCCAAGGGAAGACCGGGGTCTGAGCCACATAAGAAGGGACCGAAGCATACCACGCGTGACCCTTACCATACAAAATGGATTTTAGAAAGTACACAAGACATCCCGTCATGTGATTTACCACAATAATAGGTGAAGTAGGGGTTAGTGTACTTCACTCTGAATTCAGAAAGGCCGAACTTGAGGCCTGTAACCTGGCAGCCACAACAAGTGGGAACCCATAATCAGGAAGGCCTGACAAGGCCTAACACCCGATAGTCCCAATGCATGGGGAGCTCACATTCAGGAAGGCCGCTGAGGCCTGCAGCCTGACATGTGAAGACTCACCACTACAACTTAGCGACCACGAAAAGTGGGGGTTTCACATTCAGGAAGGCCTGGTGAAGCCTGCAACCTGACATGTGACAACTCACAACCAGGAAGGCCAATGAAGCCTGAAGCCTGGTGACCACAGAGTGGGAGCAAAGTGCTCAGGGAAGGTGGTGAGGCTGTAGTCTGGCTACCGCATCATGTGGGAGCCCACATTCAGGAAGGCTGGGTGAGGCCTGTAAACTGACTACCACAGTATATGGGAACTCATAACCAGGAAGGCCCCTTTGAGGCCTGTAACCTAGCAACCACAATGTGTGGGAGCTCATCACCAGGAAGGCCTGGTGAGGCCTATAACCTGACCACCACAGAAAGTGGGAACTCATAACCAGGAAGGCCCCTTTGAGGCCTGTAACCTAGCAACCACAATGTGTGGGAGCTCATAACCAGGAAGGCCTGGTGAGGCCTGTAACCTGGCGACCACAATGTGTGGGAGCTCATAACCAGGAAGGCCTGGTGAGGCCTTTAACCTGGCGACCACAGTACGTGAGAGCTCGTATCCTGGTGACCACAGTATGTGGGAGCTCATAACCAGGAAGGCCTGGTGAGGCCTGTAACCTGGCGACCACAGTATGTGGGAGCTCATAACCAGGAAGGCCTGGTGAGGCCTGTAACCTGGCGACCACAGTATGTGGGAGCTCATAACCAGGAAGGCCTGGTGAGGCCTGTAACCTGGCGACCACAATGTGTGGGAGCTCATAACCAGGAAGGCCTGGTGAGGCCTTTAACCTGGCAACCACAGTATGTGGGAGCTCATAACCAGGAAGGCCTGGTGAAGCCTGTAACCCAGCGACCACAGCATGTGGGAGCTCATAACCAGGAAGGCCTGGTGAGGCCTGTAACCCGGTGACCACAATCAGTGGGAGCTCATAACCAGGAAGGCCTGGTGAGGCCTGTAACCTGGCAACCACAGTATGTGGGAGCTCCCACAGATGTCTCTCCGTGGCCACCATAGCACCGACAGAACAGCAGATTGCTTGGTGGCCCGGAGTCCCGCAACAGATCGGTCTGGTAGGCCTGAGGACCACAAGGGCGTGCAGAACCGCACCTGCCTGACCTGCTGCCGTGTACGCTCTGTCATTCAAGCATGAAGATGTCTTGAGCAGCTTGGATGACAGGGTCAGAGCTCTTAGTGAAGAGGACCAACCAGAGACGAGATAGTTAGCCAACGTCTCGTCCACTGGCGGCCTCGACACTTATCCGTTCTCCACGGCTCCCTCCACAGCAGCGAAACTAGCCCGCTGATGCAGATAGAGACGTGAGGAGAACGGATTCTTCCATACCCTCTCGATCCCAGCGTGGAGATCGGAAACGAATGGAAGGCTCATCCGGGCTGGTGGCTTATGGGTGGGGAGGAACCAGCCATCCAAAATACCATGAGCGGGTTCCTCCCAGACGCGCCTCCACTGCAACAGCAATCTGTCTGAGGCGCGCCCCATAATGTCAACCAGCTCAGCGTACACTGGGCAGGAGGGCTGAAATGATTCGGTCTCAACCAAACTGACATCCTTTTCTATGTATATATATATATATATATATATATATTACAGCCAACTCCTGCCCTGCCCAAAGAGAACAGTTACAGATTCACCAAAGAGAGAGAGCGCTCATTTTCTCTCTTCTTAGATGTTCAACATTAATCTGTAACTCACCCTCGTCAGCTGGTAGATCATCCGCGAGGTTAACGCCCCTCTCCCGATAATCTGCCAGCTCCATCTGAAAGCTCCACGAGCTCAACCGCCACTGAGCCTCAGCCCGAGCGGGAACCGGAACCGCGGGGTTCAGATGCCGCGCCCACTTCCTTCGAGAAGTGGGTCAGACGAGAGCAGAGAGTTCTGAAAGGAAAAACTCTCAGTTCGCGCAAAAAACTCCCTCGAGAGCTTCCCGCGAATGCTCTTCTCTCAGGCAGAACACGCACAGATCGTGTGAATCCTCCGGTGTCAAATATCTGGACACAAGTCGGCACACTCGCGCAAAGTGTTTCTCCACGTCTCTGCGCGTTTAATCGTTGATACTATCACACAGACAAACAGTCCCTGAAGACGAAAAGATGTTGTCACGGTTTCAAGGCGCCCTTCTTATACATCCAGATTGACGCGCTCATCATTCAAGCTGATGATGCACGGGCTGTCGCCGGTCAACCTGATTACTGTGAGTTGATATTTGATTTCAGACACCTGTCACGCCTGAGGCGTTCCCCGTAGCGTCATTCGACGTATTGTTGAGTTCCCTTCGAAAGGGAACTGCCGGTGTGGCTGGAGGTATTCTGAAACTGCAGGAATACAGACGGAAATACTCTAAACAAAGGTCTGGGAGAGCAAGCAATGGGAGGCGACATAAATCATCTCAAAAAGGCACGCGAACAAGTGCTTGTTGTTATGGGAAACGTTTTAATGGAGCCTCTGGTCCTATTTCTCATGTCTCTTTTGGGAATCTGCAGCGAGATTTAAAGGAAGCGAGTATGAGCGGAAGTTTTGAAACTGTGGGAAACCGCAGGAAAAACAAGTCAACATTGTATAACGATGGCATTTATGAATTGTGCTTTGTCAGAGATAAAGGAATGAAGTCAGAAGTGGTACAAACAAATCAGCATTCCTGGCCAGAAAGACCCTTAAAAATGACAATACATACATGAAATAAACAAATAACAGAAATAATTACGTGGTGTTGTTGGAAAACAAAACACTCAGATGTCTCTCACAATCACACACAACCATAAAATGCAAAGCCACAGGCAAAAAGACAAATAAAAACAAATCAAATGTTCATTAAAGGGTTGAAGGATAATGACAGACTCCTGAGGGTGATTGACGAGACGAGCTTCATTACTGCCCTACTAACTGACTGAGATGAATTCTGGGATAGCTTTTGTCATCTAGCATAGTAAGTAGTTTGAGTTGATAAACAGCAGATCATTTACTTACCCTCATGTTGTTCCAAATCTCTATGACTTTCTTTCTTCTGCAGAACACAAAAGAAGATATTTTGAAAAATGTTCGTTTTGTCCAGTGTCAGTGAGAGAGTCCAATGTTATTTTTGGGCCTCACTGACTTTAATTGTACGAATTAAAACCATTCTTTTGTGTATCGCAGAAGAAAGGAAGTCATACAGGTTTGGAAAGACATGAGAAAATGTCTTTTCATTTTCCTTCTAGTCTTATTAGTTTTCCATTTGCTGTGATTTTTTTGTCTCTAAAGCAGTAACATTCAGACAATTTAAAAGAGTAGTTCACTTTTGAAAAAACTTTTGCTGATAATTTACTCACCCCCATGTCATCCAAGATGTCCATGTCTTTCTTTCTTCAGTCGAAAATAAATTAAGGTTTTTGATGAAAACATTCCAGGATTTTTTTTCCATATAATGGACTTCAATGGGAACCAAACAGTTCAAGGTCCAAAAGACAGTTTCAGTGCAAACTGCAAACTGTTCAAAGGGCTTTAAATGATTCCAGACGATGAATAAGGGTCTTATCATCGCTCATTTTAAAATAAATAACAAAGTTTAAGTTTTATAAGCTCAAATGGTCACCTTGCTCTGTTCTGTGATGCGCGTTCGTGACTCTCCTATTCGAACTAGTTTATCAAAATGAACAAATCTTTTTTCGTGTCATTTGGTTCATTCAACGAACGAAATGAACAAGTTGACTCGGGAAAAGATTAGTTCATTTTGTTTGCACTGAAACTGTCTTTTGGACCTTTTGGACCAGCAAAGTCCATTATATGGAGAAAAATCCTGGAATGTTTTCATCAAAAACCTTAATTTCTTTTCGACTGAAGAAAGAATGACATGGACATCTTGGATGACATGGGGGTAGGTAAATTATCAGCAAAAGTTTTTTAAAAGTGAACTACTCCTTTAAGTGTGACAAAATATATGTTGGGCTATTTGCATACATACTAACCTGCATGGTGTGAAAGACCCGTGTTTTCTCAAAGTGAAACTCAATGTCAACAGTGGGCTGGGCCAAGGAATCCCGATTCCAGCCCACATAATCATATCCTGGCCACACTCTCAGCTCTTTACTCTCCATGAAATCATTCCCACCTAAAACACCATCACACAACTGGCCCAATCCTCCAAACATCACCCTACGGAGAAAAGAGAGACATTACAGATGTGAAGTCATTAGCCATGTGCACACACATACACAGATGTACACATGTACTCACAATACATGTTGGAATTTCCCATGCACATACACATCTGGCTAGTGTCAAGCGTTAGCTTAGCTATTGCAAACATTTCTGCTCCATTAAAACACATCTGGGAATGTTTCTACACAATATTCATCAACCCCACCTGACAGATATACTGTACATACATTGAAGAAAAAGGGGTCTGGACTAACATATCTCACAGAAAATTAAGTACGACAGGAGCAGGTGAGTATTGAGAAGGTTAACTCAGCAAGTTCTCAATTGATTGTTTTTGACACACAGCATGAAACTAGGGTTGGGAAAAGAGAAATGGTTCTTTGAGCATGGTTTTCTTTATTATATTTGAATCAAATGTCTTGTTTCGTTATTGATATTAGAATGTGCATTCTTCTAGAGTTCTAAACTTGTGTAGTCTCTCGATTCCAAGCAACTCTTTAGCAAATCAAAAACATACAAGAAACCAGTGTAGTCTAAGCACTTTGCCACTTTTCTTTCTTTCTTTCTTTCATTCAATCATTCACAGGGGAATTTCACAATACCCATACTTAATTAAACCTACTTGATTGTTGTTTGCTGAGAGACAACTGATGATGAAATGATTTTAAAGGTGCAATAAGCAATTTCTGAGAAACACTGAGAAATCCCTTCATTTCTCTGGCCTAAAAATGCACAAACACGCAATGCAATGTATATCTAACATTACAACAACAGCATATCTTAGTTTTGTGAAACATAGCAAAACCAATGTTACCCCTGTATGGAGCAGAAACGCAACCTTTGCATTGGTTCTCTCTCCTTCTTTTTCCAGTGATATTCCTCTGATCTTTTCTCTTTTGTTAAGTCTCTCAGCTCTTTCTACAGTCTTTCTTCAAATCTCCCTCTTACTCACTCTCTCTCCTCCCCCAGTATAAGTGTACACGCCCCCTACTGCTGATTGGCTACAAATGTGTTGTGGTGCTCGGTCCGATCTACTTGCAACAGCGTTTCTCAGAAATCACTTACTGTACCTTTAAAATGCATTTTATTTTCCAATATGTGTAGCAAACATGTAGTATTATGCAGACATGGAAGCAGGGAGTAATTACGTTCTTAAAAAAACAATCTGAAGGAAAAAGTTGTGTGTGTGTATTACCCTGCCTCTTTACTCCCATCATAGATGGAGTCATTAAGGTAGACAGGTGAGCCTGACAGGTTCATCGAATGACCCACAGGAGCGGTGTACGCCTTCAGTCCATCTAACAGAGAAGAAGCACATCACTCAAAGGGAAACACCATTCCACTGCAGAAAATGGCTGTAGTGAAAGTAATGTGGATAAGTGTGTGTGATCAGGATGATGGAGACTAACCTTTCCAGACACAACCATAGAGTTCAACTCTTAAACACACGCTCATCACACGGTCCGCCAGTGGGTAGAAGCGCACCATGCGTGCTATGATGGGCGGACCCAGGTCCTTCAGGACCACATCATAGGTGTTCTCGTTCCCTGTTACCACCTGAGACACAAACAACATAGAAGAACTGTAAAGTACAAAAGATCTAAATTTGTTGAATTTTGTTGTGATAGTTCACATAAGGGTTAGAAACCTCCTGCCCCCAGCGGTCCTTCCAAGTCATCCACTGTCGTCCATCACGAGAGTAATGCAGACGGTAACTACGCGCAAACTCCCGACCCAGCCCGTCTGCGTGGCGTCCCTGCGTGCCCACCAGAGACAGGAAATAAAGCTTGCGCAGGTCCACCTGCAGGTACTCTGAGCCACTGGGAAACACCGGACCAGCCGGACACCACGCCCCGTCCCCCTCTCCAGTACTCAACCTGGGACAGGAAACAAACACAAATATTATGTATATGCTTGACATATTAGAGCCTTGGTGCTCATGTGAGTGGTGTGGGTTCGAGGCAGTAGTGTGGCACGTCACACATACAATACAGTGATGTATTGAGATTTTACAGAGATACATTTAGAGAAGTAACATGAATTAAAAATGTACAATTAAACTTTTAAGTGTGTGAATCTCATGAAAGCACACACACACAAAACAAACATACTTTGCATAAATAAAATTAACCATTAACTATTCTTTTTAGCATTGTGACGATGATTCTCTTCACTCATTCTTTCACTGGATTACAATACTTATCTTTAAATGAAATTCTTTGCTTTAAATAATTATAATTTTTTTCAGTGTCACACTAATGAGAATTCGGCATGTTCAAAAATACTCGAAAATAACATCACAATGCAAATATTCTTACAGGTTTTAATAACTGAAGTTTTTTCTTCTCATTTTTTCCCTTTTCTCAAACGAATCTCAAAAACAAATGAAAAACAATAACAATAAAATCACAATTTGCCATTTCCTGGCAAAAAAAAAAAACGTGTACGCTAATGAGGCTAACACACACACACACACACACTTATATGACATTTTAGCCGTTTTCTCTTTAAAACTTCCTAGCACACTTCCTCCACTCACAGACGCACGTAATGTCCTGAGCGATCCACTGGCTCATTATCAGTACAGACTAAACTTCACTCACTCATAACAGAAAGGACAACACTGAATGCCTCTGCATTCAGCAACTGTTATCACATAGGTGACGAGACACTGATGACAGACAGCCGAGACCACAAACACCCAAACACAAAGAGAACTGCACCTGAAATAAGACATTCCAGTGAAGTGTGGATATTGTCACCTCACTGAGACCTCATTGAGACACAGTTGAGATCGAGAAACTGAGACCAGTCTGAGATATTTCTGATTCACCCTTGAATCTTCAGCATGACCTCAGAGCTTTAAAGACACATGCATCAGTCTCACAAACCCTTTTAAAAACAAAATATAGTCTAGTTCACTGAAATGTTCTTCTGACCACAAATAGGACACTTAAATGTGAAGAGACTGTTAAATTACTGTCATGTAAAATGATCAATCCAGACCCAGTTTCAGAAATCACAAGTACAACAAAGCTGCAAATAAGGAATATTCCAGTTATTCCAGTTAGTCTTTCTGTAATATTGTTTATACTTTGGTCATTTAATATGTGTTGCTGCTTTAAAACTGAAAAGTGTTAGGTTGTTTTTTATATAAAAGCACAACAGTCAGCTTCCAGAAATAAAAGGTACTCATTTAGTTATAAACTGTTAAATCCTGTTGAAAACCAATGGTTTATGTATGAAATTAATTAACTGAAAGAATAATCAAGAGATTCATCAATTATGAAAATACTTGTTAGTTGAGGCCCTCTTCATTCTGTCTTTTTCTCACTGTATCTTCTGGTCTTCAGTATGCTGTCAGACAGCTGTTTCTCTCAGAGGTCATGTGTGTGAGAAGAACCCTCCCAAATATACAAACATCACACACTGCATCTCCATCATAAATCCCATCTTCAGGACCTCTCAGCACTCCATCATTCCTCTAAACCTCCAGCCTCTTTCCCCTTTATATCCCTTTCCTGTTTAAGTCTATATCCCCCTCTCGCTTGCGTCATTTTTCCTGTAAGCTCCTCTCCCCTCCGTTCAAAATCCCCCTGCTGTCTTAAACAGAATGTGGACTTAATAACAACCACATGATCTGCGTGTTGCCAAAAGACAGAAACACACACACACACACACACGTCTGGTTCGCTATCTTTGTGGTGACTTTCCATAGACGTAATGGTTTTTATACTGTACAAACTGTATATTCTATACCCTTACACTACCTCTAAACCTACCCATCACAGAAAACTGTCTGCATTTTTACATAAAAAAACTCATTCAGTATGGTTTATAAGCTTGTTTCCTCATGGGGACCTCAATTTAGGTCCCCAAAGTGACACCCATGAGTCCCCATGAGTCAGTGTGCATTCAGTGCATTCAGAACAAGCACACGCACGCACGCACATACACGTTTCAGGATGAGATGGTGATGCTAACCTATGGTGAGCTTGTTTTTGGCTGTTTGTTGTGTGTGTGTCTGTGTGGTTCAGGTAAACCCTACATTATGGGGACAAAATGTCATTTTTTGGGTCCCCATGAGGAAAATAGCTAATAAATGTTATGATATTTTCTGTAAAGGTAAAATGCTGAAAGTTTTCTGTGATGGATAGGTTTAGGGGTAAGGTTAGTGTTATAATATGTGTATGTGTGTGTGTTGCATCTTCTACTGTGTGTGTGTGTGTGTGTGTGTGTGGTACTGGCCTGTATTCAGCAGCATGTGAGTCTCGTCCAGACAGACAGTGCTGTAATGTCATTACCTAATGCTCTATATCAGGACACGCTCCATTACTGACATCTCATGTAACCTAATCACGTCCTCTCGTGAGCCTCACAGAGCCCACGAACACAAACAACCGACCACAAATCACACAAACACAAAATGAGAGTGAGAATATTTTATTATGTATGCAAGGAGTAAAAGATGTGTGAAATGATATCATGTGCTCGTGCTCACCTGCCGTGTTTAGCCTCGGTCGAGTCCGACCAGGCGCTGGATGCGGTGATGTCAGAGTCGGGTATGGTGCCGTCTTCCATCCCCAGAGCATAGCGACACTTAGCTGTGTGATACACAAGAAACACTTCAGACAGGCACCCTGAACACAAACTCATCAAGAAGAGACACTTATTCTGAACAGTGTTGTCATTGTTAACTGATTTTTTTTGTTAATTAAAATAAAGCTGGAAAAAAAATCTAATCTAAATATTAGACTAAAAAAAATAGAAATGTTGTTAGGTAACTGAAATAAAATACTAAAATACTTAGTATTAAAAATACCAAAACTGATATATATTTTAAATATAAATCATTTTAAAACAAAAAGAGTCAAAACCACATAACAAAATTACTAAAACTAAAATGAACATCAACAAATAAAAACCATTTCAAAATATGAAAAAAATTCTATAATAATATATTCATTTAATCAATAACCATTTCAGTTGTATCGGACTCTTGGTGATTCTATGAGCCATCTCTTGCCATACGCGAGAGACTGTTCATGAATTTTCTTGCCGATGATTTTTCTGGAGTAGCTCGACAGGTCTTGAGACAGACACACACACACACACACACACACACACACGCACATAGCACAATTTATCATCTCCAATTCATACTGCCAGTTTAGTGATAGTAATTATTTAGTATCATTTAAACATATATAATAGTACAACTTTTACTAAATACTATTACTAATACTAAAATAAAATTTAAAAAAAAATACCTAATGATGGAAATGCCATGCACTTCTACTCTTATTTTTTTTATAAAGATAATGATCATCACAGACTAAATCACACCAAAAACCTGCCCTGATCAACAAAAGGCAATCAATCAAATCAATCAATCAATCAATCAATCAATCAAATCAAATCAATCAATCAATCAAATCCATCCATCCATCCATCCATCATCCATCCATCCATCAAATCAATCAATCAAATCAAATAAATTGTGTCAGAGCTGAGAGGTTTTCAAACGGGTGATTCCAAAACGAAATGCTTGAGGGTCCAACTAGAAATTTGAAAGAAAACAGATTTTGCAAAATGTTAATATTTTACACAAAGCTAACATGCTAACCTAAGACATAAATGAAATATACCAATATTTTTAAGACCTAATTTCTCAAATTATTATTTCTGACATGTAGTAACAGAGTAAAGGACCCTTACAATATTATTGAATAGCAATTTTCCACTATATCTTAGTAGGGGGTTCAATCATGTTTTGGGGTCCCTGTCATCAAAAAGTTTGAAACTCCTCTGAGTTAGTGGATTAAAATATTTAAATTCATTTAAAGTGGTATTTTGTAGTTAACAATTCAGTTCCTTTTTAGGAAGGAAAAAAAATAATAACTATAGCCTTTTGTTTAACATTGTTTATGAATGACAGTGTCACAAAACAATAGACAACTTTAGTTCCATTCTGTGTTCAATTTTTGAATAAACTAAAACGAATAAAAAATAAAGAGGGTCTTTCTCCGACATTTACTAATAAAACACTAGGAATTTCAGTGTGCAAAACTTGTTTTAACATGCTAACTTTTTTTTAGCAGATTTTTTTATCAGAAGTCCTTGGGGCATTTTGTCCTCACGCTATAAGCAAATGAAGTCCCATATACGGCACAATGTCAAATTCTCACAAAGATACCAAAACAGCATTGCTGCATTGTTGGAATTGCTTCAGCAATGTCTCACAGATGTAGTGCAGGGAGCAGACAAAAAGAAATTAGGAGATGAAATGAGGACAGTAGAGAAAAACACTGGCACAAACAAAGTGTTGAAATCATCCGCACGGATCACATGTCAGTTTGTGTGTCAGTTTAGAGGGTGTGCCTGTCAGTGTGTGTGTTGAAACGGTGGGTGGTGGGTGATGGGTGAGGTTTTGGGGGGGACGTACTCAGTTGCTGTAGAGTGAGTAATGAGATAAGAATGCAGAGGCTGGAAAACAAACCCTACCCAGCCAGCGAGACCCTCACTCACTCACACACACACACACACAAATGCGAGTACAAGCGCACACACACGCACATACAGTGGACAGGTGCCTGTTTCATTACATCATCAACCTGCTGCCAATAAAATGCTTTCTCTCATCCAAACTCTCTCTCCATGAGTCTGTCTATCACACACCTCCAGCTAATACAGAGCAGATGAGAGCTGCGCTTTACAGTCATTTAAGATTATAAGCAGATGCTCTCTAGTTTCGACACCGAACGCCGGTCTTGGTGACACGAATACAGTCATTTTCTGCTCCTGATCTATTTGCACCTCCACGTTCATCTCTCTCTCTCTCTCTCTCTCTCTCTCTCTCTCTCCTCTCTTTCTCTCCTCTCTCTCTCTCCTGTGAAAACACATTATTCCAACTAAAATAATAGCTACGCTAGGGCAAATTCACCAATTTTAGGGGGTCTGGATGATGGTGTGTGTGAAAAATGTTAGAAAAACAATGTTATAACAGTGCATAAATGTATGTAGTGTATGCTAAAAAACCTACTTTATCAGTATTCATTACATTTAAGTGAATTCCCCCCACTATTTCTCCTTGCCTCACCCCTCCTTCACTCTCTCAGTCTCTGGCAAGCTGTACATGCAGACGTTCCAGCTTATTATATGATTAACTATCAGCAACTGATCATGGAGAAAAACACTGCAGCCCTTACACATGAATCATATGTCTTAATTCAGGGACTGGGCTTGAATAGAATGGCTTTAATCACATTTCATAGGCATTAAAAACACATTAGAAAACCCAACCAACAGAAAAGATGAAGACTGTGAACTAGAAAAGAATAAAGACACAAGAAGACTGATATAGGAAATTTGACTTTACGACTTTGTGAGGATCCACACATCCTCAGGGTCTGAACGGTCTGACCACAAAACCCCAGTTCAATAAACTGAGAATGGGTGTTTCTCACATTAGCTGTGATTTATGACAACTAAGAGCATTCTTACCAGAGTCAAAATGCCAATCCAAGTCCTGTGCTGCTGTCCAGGAAACAAGGACGACCATGAGGAGGGGAGGCAACAACGACAGCATTTGTGTTGCCATTGCAACAGTGACACCTGGTTACCTGTCCAGAGTTGAGCTATCTTCAACAGACATACCTAAGGATGAGAGAAAGGGAGAGAAAATGATTATTACGTTGTTTTTATTCATATTATTTAATAATAGGAATACCTGGCTAGTAATTATGAGCTATGTTTTTTTAAGATGTTGTTTCTAATTGGTTCTAGTTTTGGTGGAAATGACTATTAATTGATTTGGGCTGAAATTTGATCTCCGTCAGTTATGATGTCATAGCGTGTAATGAGGGGAATCTCCACTGATCAACACTTGATGAAGTCAGTTGGATTTTAAGCACTTGATATCACTTCATTTACCCTGGTGGTCCATCAAGTCTTAGAAAACTCTCCCAAACACAACATACTGTCATTCCAAAAGCCACATGTAGAAAAAGAAACTACACACGCCATCTTTTCCATTAACATCACCCCTTCTGTGAGTATGGGATTTGTGTTTGCATGTAAAGGTTCTTTTGGTGCACTTAAAAACCACCACCACCACCACAACAAAAAATATAGGAGAAAAATCTTTAAAGTGCAACACAGCTCAACATAATGTATACACTCAAGTTGCTAAGTTTGTGTTTTTTAAAGAAGTTACTACTGCATTAATATGAATATAAAGTAAAGTCATATAAAGTAAAGACAGTAAAGTCATTTATAATGTTGCAAAAGATTTATATTTCAAATAAATGCGGTTCTTTTGAACTTTCTATTACTCAAAGAATCAAAAGATTATCAAGGTTTTCACAAAATATTAAAGGGGTGATGAACTGAGAAATCAAATTTTCCTCAAGCTTTTGACATCTAAGAGGTCATCATATTATAAGAATATCCTGTAAGTTTCAGAACTGAAAACGTCCTTGTTAATTCCAATAAAAGCTTTTATTGACACCAGCCTCAGCAAACGACTCGTTTTTCAAAGTGGGGAACTATGACGTAAAGAGGATGAAACACCACCCCCGCAGAAGAAGATCAATGCCTACTTCAACACAGCCGGTCTAGCCCCGCCCACCGATTCGCGCATTACACGCATAGCGAAATAACATAGATCCCTACCTCGTGATGACAAACCGGATCCAGTTACCGAGCAATACAAAATATTGTGCAGCGCCTGGTTGTGGAAGAAGACAGTCGCTGCATATGCTTCTGCCTCTGGATTCCAATAGTTCCATGGTTAAACTTTATTTTAATGACGTTTCAAGCTGATAAAACATTGTCGTCTGTTCGCTTCATTTCACTGAGGATTGTTTTGTAAACAAGACTGGATTTGCAGACCGATTAAGAGTAAAGAATGGTGCTGTGCCGTCTATATTGAATCTGACAGAGGAATGGTGCAACACACGGACTCTGGGGTGAATCCGTTTGCCATTTTACAACATTGGACGTTTTCAGAACACCATTATAGAACTCATTATAATTGTTATCCACTCACAGCAGTGGGCGTTTATTTCCAAGTCTTCAGTGCGAGACACCCATAAAAACAAAGTGTTTTTCAGCTAGGCTCAAAACTAGGGTACAAAATAGCCTATTACTTATTTATTTTGATGTTTTTGAATGCGAAAACCAGCAAACGTCATAAGTTGACCTCAGACAACAATATAATAAAATTTAAAAAGCCAATTCATGACCCCTTTAAGCAGCACAACTGTTTTCAACATTGATAAAAATAAGAAATCAGCAAATCAGCATATTAGAATGATTTCTGAAGGATCATGTGACACTGAAAACTGGAGTAATGATGCTGAAAATTCAGCTTTGCCATCACAGGAATAAATAACATTTAAAATATAATAATATAGGAAAAAAGTTATTTCACAATTGTAACAATATTGCTGTTTTCACTGTATTTTTGATCAAATAAATGCAGCCTTGGTGAGCGCAAGTCTTCTTTAAAAAAACATTTGTAAACATCTTACCGCCTACACATTTTTTTAACTGTAGTTATACAGTTTTTTCACACATCACTCATGCTGTTATTCCAGCATCATCTGGCATTACAGTTATTTCATCCCCATCACAACATGGTCTCAGTAAATGTGATTTGTGTTTGTATATGTGTTTTTCACAGCGGCGCGTCCCACAAATCCATGGAATGAGGGGTCTCTGTGAGTGTGTGTGTGAGGTGGCAGCTGTCCCGTGCGGAGTGACAGCGCTGCTTCTGGGGTCTGTGAGAGACAGACAGCTGATGCACAGCTGTGCAGACACAAGGACAAACAGAGTAGGAGAATCTGAAAAGAGGTGTGGAAAAGAGGTGTAGACGAGGCGTGCATGTAATAGACCCAGCTTAATGGACTGTGCATTAGTGTGTGCATGTCATATTCAACATACTGTCTGTCTCTGTGTGTGTGTCCGCAGCAGCCAGTGCAGCTGTCCTGAGCTTGAGACAGGCGGTGCCAACACACACAGACTGCAAGTGTTTCCAAACCCAGGGAAAACAGAAAGAAAGGGGGAGAGCGAGATATCAGTTTATGTGCCAAATAATTCGCTATTGTAACCCAAGTTTGAGTTTATTACAGTTGGCATTGTGAATCCTCTCACGTCTGTTGACAATAAGTGCAATCACTGTGCGTAACCTTAGCAACCCATCAACAATTTAATTACCGAATCCAAAGATTGAGAGAGAGAGAGAGAGAGAGAGAGAGAGAGAGAGAGAGATATTCATATCTCATATCTCGCCATATTCAAATAAATAGAACAAATGAACAAAAAAGTTAGTCACCAGTTGGCTGTAACTAATATTAAGCTGCAACATTACGTCATTAAAGTCAAACTTTATAAACAAAACCTTGATCAAATAAAATAAAATCTTGAGTAAATAAATGATAGACCAAATGTAAATGGAATCTAATGTTTGGGGCATTTAAATTGAATGCAGTTAGATGAACTTTAGAATGCCTTTCTGACCCACGTAAGTACATCTTTATTTAATTTCATAATTCTATGGTATTTTAAATTGTAACATAGTAGTCTGATGATGAAGAGGACTAAGATTCCTAAAGGTTCAAATAACAAGTCTTTATTCAATAAAAAAAACACAGATAGATCCAAAGGTTATGAACAAACGATAAGTGTAACACACGAACAATACCCGACCATGAACTGAATAAGGAGGAACTTAAATATAAAATGATAAAGACTAAATGACGGACAGGTGTATTGACTGCATGAATGTCTATGGTAACTAAAGACTGCCGGAAACTAGAACAAAGAAAACTCAAGTCAATGAAAATGAAACTAAACAGACAAAACGTTCCAGAAATATGGCAAAGTAAAATACACTTTTAAAGGGATACTCCACTTTTTTTGGAAATACGCTCATTTTACAACTCTTAAACTGTTGAAAACTCAGTTTTACTCACTCATGGTACGGCAGTGAAGTTTCCTGATTATTACGCAGGAATGAGAGTATAGTTTCTAGTCATATCAGGCTAGAAAATCTCAACTTTACATTTTCCGTCTGTCGTGCACGATGTAACTATAGAAGAGTCAAGTTTTAAATAGGAAAAATATCGAAACACTTTGGTAATTTTTTGTGAGAAATGCTAATGGTCTTGTGCACTTCAATGATGTATGCTAAGCTATGCTAAAAGTGGTACCGCCAGAACCGGAGATCGGCTGAATGGATTCAAAAAAAGTAAAACTGAACAGTTTAACTCTGGGGGCGTTGTTAAATGAGCCTATTTCCCCAAAAAAAGTGGAGTATCCCTTTAAATGTCATTTCTATTGAAATTTGCATGTCATTTAAATGTATTTGTTATAACACATTTGTAATGCCGTTGCAATAATATTTTAAATGTACTAAATTGCAACTAACTTTGAGATTCACAATATGAACTATAAACGCAATATTGAATAACATTGTGCAGTTAAAATTATAATCAAGTAGGCCTATTTTATATATGATTTAGTATGTTAGTCAACACAATAAGTATGCTCATCAAAGACAATCAAAAATTCATTTGAAACAAACTTTAAAGGAAAGCTTATTAATTGTGTTCATTTCAAACTAAAAACGTAAAACTTATGTGCTTTAGCCATTCGTTTAGATGATAACAGCGTTTTGAATTCGTGTTTCAAAGTGCAAGTTATTGAAAACGGTCTCCGTGTAAACAACAAAAACGTGAATCGGTGAAGACTATGACGTCATGTACATGCGTATTACATGTTGAGTCTATAGTGTTTCATCGTCATCTAATGGGCTGACAGCAGAATACAGGGTTCTCAGTATTTTTCGCAGATCCGTGTGTTTAACAATGGTGTCGTCTGTAGGGGAAAACTCAAAGGATAAACATCTCCGCTTTAAGCATATCGCTATCGTGTAAAAATGTCCCTTAGTTTAAGAACTAATTGTGGTTTTTTTTACTCTAGTATGATCATGCACATTACCTCTATTGCCATTATTTGAGCTTATGAAATGTATGATTCAATGTTGATATTTTTTATTTCTGATTTGATTTTTTTTTAATCAAAAAGTAATTTTGATAAACAGTTATGCAGAACTGTATTTTCACATTAAAGGTAAGAGCTGTACTGTACTTGCATGGCTTGAAATCATCATTCCAGGGCAATTTCAAACACAACCACATGAACTAACTTGCCTTTGATATAATGCTGAGAATGATGTGATGACGTGCTGTTTGTCACTAATATGAAAGTTTAAAAAATGGCTAAATCATCCCATTTTTTATTAATACAGAAATGTGTCAAACGGTTTAATTGCCTGTAAGAAATACGTATGGGTATTGGCAGTGACAAAAAGCACTCCGCAGGCGAAGGAAAAAAACTCATCAGAATAATATAAAACTCAGGAAATGAGTCTAGCTGTAAACTCAAAGGTAGTGCAAGTTTATATGTTCAGTTTGATCTGATCTTTCACTTTCCCTATAACTCTCATTTCATGTTCTGCAAAGACTAAATATTTTCGATATAGCAGCATTAGCTTGGGTCTCCCTGCTGGAGTGAATGAGCTCAACCTCCTCGGATCTGGTCCAGTGGGAGGCCTATAGGAAACGCTCTGGAATGAAGCCCCATATACT